GTCGGCGTGAGAGATTATAAGTGTAAATAAAAACGGAGGAAAGAGAGGAAAGAGAGCGCCGCGGGCAAGATCCGTGTCGAGCCGCGTGGTGTGAGGATGTAACGAACGGTACACAGACGTCCGGTATCCCTACATCACGTAACGATACACGGCGATAAACCGATACATTTCGTTCGCGTAAAATGTACGAGGTGTGTGTACATCGCTCGCCTTACGGCCACAGACGTGTATCCGAAGGAGATCAGCTGGAAAGAAATTTTCGCGATCGTCCCGTTACCCGAGGCGTTTGTGATCTCGCGAGGATTGTACGAGGCCCACTTTAGACGATCTGCCGTAATTCTGTTGCGTCAGAATTCTGTTTGTTACGATGAGCGCCTTTCGTGACACGGAGCACGCTTGAAGAGAATCAAAATATATGTATAAGTGCATATTAATTTTCTATGATGTGTAACTCTAAAGTTACACATTCACATATCATTCCTCTTATGTCGAAACCATGAATGTACTTTTATGACTAAAAAAGGAAATAATAATCAAAGATTATTTTATAGTCAAAAATTTAAGTCCGAAGTAAAAACTGATATCTACATGAAAATTTAAAAAATGTCGATCAAATTTTGGCGATTTTCGGACTTTACAGCGACGTAAAGTCCTTTTCGTAGAGTTAAATTATTAACATAACACGTAGTAATATAAATTACCGAACGAGCGACAGAACTTTGAGCGAAATTTTTCGATTCCGCGCGAAAGTTGCAGCCGCGACCTGTCCGCGAAAAATCTACGGCAAGAAACCGGCGCGGTACGCGCGACTCTCGCGCGTGCTCGCATTTCCTTCTCTCATTTTTTTGCACGCTTGCACGCCTGCCGCGGACCCTTTTTGCCGTCGGATGACTTTCGCAAATGCCCGTCGCGATGATGGTTAAGTAACGCTGAGTGCGTGATAGCGGCTGCTTCGAGTCGTCCGTCCGCGACGATCGAACGATCGGCAACAAGAACCGCGTTCTCCGGTTGATCGTCCGCAATTTGGATGATCGCGACAATTGCGATACTCAATTACCTCGTGCGCTGGTACTCCAATTTATCCGTGCATAGGGTGTCTCACCCTTCAAAGCCTGCGACCTTATATAATTTTAGATTCTCGGGTCGGTTGACGAAAGATTGCGCGTCCGCCGGGACGGCGCGACGCGTTAATTGTAAAATTAAATGTCTCGGTGTAATTAGATGCGTTCCTTCAGCCGTTCGTTAGACACGTTCCTAACGCGTCGAGAGACCGTCAGGGTAAATTTGGCCGAGCGTGCGGCTCGTTCGGAGCGTTACAAAGCGTCCTAAACCTGCGGCTGCAATAAAACGTCGGCGCGAGGAGCGACGTAACAGTGTCCGCCTCGTTTAGCTTTGACGAGAATAATACGTAATCCATGATCGCTTTTGTGCTACTCGAGTTCCACTCGGAATGCGATCCGCTCGCTATTTATGGATACGATTCCGATTGAATTTAATTGGCGCGACTCTCAGTCTTTTCCTATCCGGGAAGGCAAAGGTAAGATTTGCCTTAAATTTTCTTTTTTTTTTTCTAAATCAAAACGAGTGAAAACGTATTTGAAAATATGTTTGCACATTACGGCCGAGAGCGCATCTTCGTAATTACAGTCTTGGTAATTACTGTCGAATGGCGATTGCACTTTCTCCTTATAATTTGAAAATTGCCAAGCCGCGTTATTATAAAGTTTAACCGACGCCGGTGAAAGCCGACCGTTCTAAACTAGTTCTGAGTGCGTTATGTCGTCGCAGAATCGTGCATTCCCTTTTGCGTCGAGCGGAAGGACGGAGCAAAGGTGTAAAGTGCAACTTCTAAATTACCCACCGCACGAGCGTGCACAATTCTCCTTGCATTTAACTCGTTGCTATTGTGGTGAAAATATGCAGCGCGAGGTGGGGTTTATTAATAAAGCTCGAGTCCCAATGACGAAACTTTTAGAATATTTCAAATCAAATTCGGTTCTCGGACTCACAAAATGCACCAATAATATCGCCAAAATTATTTTTAACCCTTAAATGCACAATTTTTCATATAGCATTCTGAGTATTTTTAGAATACTTCGAATTCAAATTCGGTTCTCGGACTCAGAAAACTAACATCAATAAAATTGTCAAAGTCGCTAATCCTTCAAAGGTCCCTTATCAGACGTGCAAAGTTGCGCGTTTTCAGTTCAAACTTCACAAAGGAGAGCATCACGGAGCATCGAAAAGTCGCTTCGTACGTGTGCAAAGCTGCGCACATAAAGGGTTAAAATGGTTTTTTTTCTTTATTGCAACGACAGACACGGAGCAGTTGTGAAAATAACGCTTTGTAGTACCTGGGATTCGTCGCACCCCGCCTTAACGACGAACGGGTTAAATGGCCGCGTGGTTATTACTCCCACGGACGCACACAATCGCGGGGCGCATTAATCTCGCGGCGATAGCGCCAGCCCCCAGACGTTACATATTTATTCTAGACATTTATTCCCTTTCGCATCACAATAACGCGCTATCAATGGACTTTGTTTTGGCTGACAATCGCGTCGACGCGAGTCCCCGAAAGGGCATATCTTATTTCATCGTATAAAGCACTTTTTTCATTTCTATTTTAAACGAGAAACGCGCAAGGCGCAGATAAGAGGAATCTTAATGTAATTTTTAGAACGTGTTCATAAATCGTGCGTTTCGTGAAAGATGAGAAAAACGCGTCCAGCAATAAAGGAGAATGTGTCGTTTTACTCGTTGTGTAATTAGCTGCCCTACGCAAGTGACAGAATCTGTCGAGGGTCTCGGGGGGACAAACGTTTCGTTAACGAATCCACTGGCGCATTTAATTCGACGGGTACACTCAAGAGCGCTGATCAAGCCTCTTGACCCTTCCGTCGTGAAGGGGCCCAAGTTGACATTAAAGGCCACCCGAAGAGAAAAAAAAAGAATCGAGCGCTCGTGTTCTACGCAATTAAAAATGCATTTCCGGATTCGAAACCTGATGGCAATAAAATCTTTACAGATTAAAAAAATTCTTATTAGCATTATAAATGATAGGCGCGTAGTTTACTGAGTTAAAAAAAAGTATTCGATACAAAATTCACACAGAAGTTTATTAAATTATTATTAGGCTACCAAGACCGAGAAAATAGCATCTTCTTTAATTCATTGTAAGAAATACATGTGTTTCAAACGCTACCCCTACGTGCAAATCTTGACTACGATTCTGATTAAAGAATGGAAGGAAAACCGGAGCTAACGGACCGCGGATAACACTGTCAAATTATATTCAATTTGAGTCATTTTTAACCATTTAACCATTCCTACGTAAGTGTCGCCCCACTGGTACTATTCAATTTTAACTAAACCAATGGCGTTGAAATAATCATGTTTTGTGTAAAATAATAAATTTTAACTTGCATGGTAGTAAAAAATAAAATGTTATTTAAACTCAAGGTATTTAAATTTCATCTTTTAATATTTGACAGTGCAGCCGAATAGAACAAATCGATTCTCACGGGATCGGAAACCGTGGGGGCGAAACAAGATAAGAAGAGGAGTGAATCGACTCCGTTTTTTCCCGGTTACTTCTCCCTTGGAGCGTCGATGTGTCACATCGCGCGGCGCCCTTTACGTTTCGACCGGGCCCGACCCCACCCAGCGGGCGGGCGGACAAGGCGGGCAGGCAGGCAGGCAAGCAGGCAAAACGAAGAGAAGTCGGAGCACAACGTCGAGTGACTCACCACCCGGCGCTTCCGCACGAAAACGAGCCTCCCTCGCAACCCCCGCTGTCGCACGCGAAGGCCGGTAAAAATAGTAGCGAAGGCCGCGGCGCGGGCGCCGCGTCGACAGGGCAATTTTCACGCCGCTCGCGCCGGGCCAAGTGCTCGTACGCCCGCCCGCCTCTCGAAGGGCTCTCCGGCTCACGGTCTCCATGGGAACTGACCCTCGGCGGCGCGAGCCCTTCGAGGGCTGCGCAAGCTCTCCCGCGGGATTTACGCAGGGTTCCCGAACGCGTTCTCGTCCTGCTGCCGGGAGTCGCGGCGTCCTGCCTGCTCGACACTCGCGCGGCCCGAATTGGGGTAAATCGAGTTGTCCGCCGCCCTTCCTGCCGCCGGGGGATGCCATTTGCGTTAAGACCGACGATCGGCCGACTCTTCCTAGATCGTAAACGAGGTACAGGGTGCCCTGGATCGCGGTTGATTAAAAGACCGCTGGGATGAGTCCCGAGGTTGAAGCTTTGTTCTTCCGTTTGGCTTCCGAGACTTTGCCTTTATCTGACGAATCTAATCGCTTGATTTAAATCCTAACTTTTGCCGGAGCGGGATCGAGGCGTCTCTCGCGCATCTTCTTGTCCATTAGGGGTCGACTTTTCCTTCGTGAAAAACCTTCGGGAGTAACTGCATGATAATAGAGTTACGTTAGAACGATTAAGTTAGAACAATTAAAGTTGAATTAATATAAAGATACAAGTATACTTCGGTCATTGTACTTCGGTTACAGCCTTTCGAAGGTTCTAAAAGATACACAAGAAGGATAACGTACGTCGTGGCGTTCGTGTTGGCGACCCGACGCTCGAGTTTACGTCGCGACGTCGCGTCGTTCGCGTCGAGAGACTCTCGAGAAGGAGAGTCGCGCGCCCTTTGTCGCTGAGAGGGGTGTTGAACCTTCACCTACTACGCAATACCGGCCCGAGGTAAGGAGAGGAGCGTCGCGGGGGGCCGGGGGGACGGCTGGAAAACCCGTTCCTCGAGCGAGGGCATTTAAAAGACGAGCGTTGCGCTCGGATCCCCGGCGGTTCAGGGCGTTGTTATTGTTTTCAGGCGTTCATCCCTCCACCCCTCCCCGTGGGGGGAAATCCTATACGTTCGGAAGAACGGAGCCGGGGCCGGGACGCTCGCGTTATCCGGGGGCCGGAATTCGCGACGTCGTCGGTTCGCCGCGTTCCGCCGATAAGCACGAGCAGGAAGCTGAAACCGCCGGCTTCTCCTTACCTCCTTTTCTCTCACTCTCTCTCTGTTTCTCCCGTCCGCTTCCGCTCTCCTTGACCGCGGAGTTCTGCTTCCCTCGAGCGTTCGCTCCTGCCGCTTGGCACCTCCGAGCGTATCGACGGCACACACACGTCTCGGTCCCGGCACGTACTCGACTACGACTCGACTCGGCCGCGTCTCGGTTTCGTCGCGCGAGAAGAGAGACGAGAAAAGACGGCGAAGACGGCGACGACGACGACGACGACGAGGAGGGCGAGCAGGGAGGCGGAAAAGGGAGAACGACGGACGTCGCGAGAGCGAACGAAGAGGAGCCAGCCGGCACTCGCGAGAGGTGCGCGCAACGCTTGTACCACACGCGGATCGACGCTCGTCACGCTACTGAGTGTACTGAGCGAAGCTGAGCTGACTGCTGAGGCCCGCCGCGCCGCTCCTAGGCAGCGGGCAGGCAGGCCCCGACGCCCCGTCGCGACGACGCGGGAGCGCGCGAGGGTGGGGAGGCCGTGCTCCGGCTCTCTAGCGATGGCGACGACACCCTCGCGCGGAGAGGAAGCCCTCGAACGCTGAGAACACCCTTTTTTTAATGAATAAAAAGAACCGTGATCATTTGAGCTTTTGTCGAGGAAAAAATATCAACGGATGAGATCCCGCGTGTATCATTTCGCTCATCTTGCAATTAGCGTTCTCTCCATTTGGATTCATATTCTCGGTAAAATTGCAGAGACGACTCCGCGAAGCGTCGCGAATCTGAAGAGAGGCAGGGATTAATAACGCGCGATGGAACCACGGGTACCTGCCGTCGGATGCCAACCTGAACGGCCTGGGAATCCAGGCATCCCCTTGCTCCTCTCATCCCTTTAGACAAGTGCGCGCGGTACTTGTTCGACGGACGCGAGCGAGTCGAAAGTCGAAACCGGTCCAGGCCCATCGCTCGCAGCTGACTCGGCATGGAGTTGAACGAAAGAGAGAGAGAGAGGGGAGGGGTAGCGCGCAAGGGTGAACGCGCATCGAACTGTCAGCGGTTAGGTTAGGTTTCCGTAGGGGCGGTGAACCTCGTCCGAGGTCCTCGCGCCGCGCCGGCCGGTCGGCCAGCGATACGACAGCGATAGCGACTCCGCGTTATTTTCGAGCTCCGGGGGCGAGATTAACGTCGAGTATGCCGTGGGATGCCCCTGTCTTTTACGAGCGTTAGAAAAAAAAAATAAAAAAAAATACATTACCGGTCTCACCCCAGCCGACCATTCCCAAAAGTCTCATAATACATGCGCAGGATCGTATCCGGAACCGGAACCGGTCCGAAGGATACGAGATGCGCGCGGATCCCCGACGAGCGGAGATCTAAATTGATGAACGGGTTTCCGACCTGACTCGACACTGATAAATTCGTAGTGCTAAACTCAAATTATATTCAATTTGAGTAATTTTTAACTATTCTACTACTAATTGTCGTTAATTTAAACTTAAACAATGAAGTTAAAATAATACTGTTTCGACCCACATGGTATAGTTAAAAGTAAAATGTTATTTAACTCAAGGTGTATTGGTTGGTTCAAGTTCCCTCCTTTAATATTTAACAGTAGGTAACGCGATCTCCCCTAATGAGCGCGTTTCAATTAAAGCGCGCGGAACAATGATATCGTCGCATCGTCAACGACGAAGAGATCCACCGTTCTCCTCTCTATCTCTCTCTCTCTCCTCCACCGTTTTCTGATATCAAACTTATGACACATAGAAACACGCGAGAACATGTTTGCGCGACGTCTCTATCTTTCATTCGCTGCATTCCGAGCTCATTAATTGATCTCGATGCCGTTGCAATTAAAAGTTTGTCGACTTTAACTGAATCCACATTGCGGAAGGTCACCGATAGATTCCGGATAGTTTCCCTACTTCGCAGTTTTCGGAAAAGTTTTCGGACACGCGAGCGAAACCCTCTCCCCCCTTTTTTAGGATAGGGTTCTCGTTAACGGTTAATGGTTCACCGCTCATTAAGTCCCGTCGAATCTCGCCGGGTCCGGCCGCGGCGCATCAACCCGCGGCGAACGGGCGTCCCGTTATACGAGCTTCGAGCCGTTCGGGCCGAGTTGCCAATTAAAAAGGCCTATTCCCTTAATTAAGTCGGATAGCCGCGACTTAATTTGATCTGGCTCGGGGAGTCGGGGGCTTTTTCGAGCGTGTCTAACAAGAGCCTCCGCGCGCTCGCGGAATCGCTCCGCTTTCCGGAAACGCGCCGTCGTTTTCAGCGAAAGCGTCCTCCCACCCTTTTATATCCTTCCGCCTGCTCTTCCTCATCTCGCTCGTTTTATCGCGCCGCGGAGAATTGTGTTCGACAACGCGTTAAAGTTCGCGATACGCGATACGCCCCCCGCTCGCGCTCTTTTCCCCGCTCATCGATTTCACGATCGTCTCAGCGACCTTTAATGCGGCGCTCTTCAACGTTTCCAAATTATATTCAGAACTATGGGAAGCATGAAGTATCTTTTATAAACTGCAAGCTAAAAACACTATGAATTATAAATTCCTGAAATATATACGACAACTATATAAGAAGAGAACGTCTCTCCGTTGACTTATGCCCATTTCTAGCGATGCAGATTAACTTTAATCTCGGTTTAAACTTACTTTTTATCTTTTTCTAAGAATAAGTAAGTTAAACCGAGATTAAATTTAATCTACGCGGCAAAATTCAAAACAAACGAAACTCGTTCTATAATTGACGTCCATTTCTGCCAATGTGGACTAACTTTGATCTCGATTTAATTTACTTTTATTAGAAAAAGACAAAAGTAAGTTGAACCGAGATTAAAGTTAATATTCATCGATGGATTTAAAATGGCACGAATTCGCGAGGTTTATCGAGGTTTATCGAGGTTTATCGTCAAGAAAGAGAGATCAATTCGCTAACTGAACTCCTCCGCGATCGTCGATTTTACGATCTCTCTTTACGACGCGTTTACGATCCGTGGAACAACGCAGCTCCGTATAATAACCGCGCATACCGTGAGTGCATCACGAAACGCGCGCGCGCGATTCTCGAAACCGCGTCGTCGTCGCCGAAACTCGCTGACGACGTGCATCCTCGTCGACGTTTCGGCGGCTCGCTCGACTACCCGGAAATCTTATCTTGCGATCCGATCGGAGAGAATCGCGAGAATCGCGCGCTCAATTTACGAAAGACGCCGGGCAATACCGCCGGTTCAGCGGCGCGGACTCTCTCGCAACGCCCGAATTCCCGCTGACCGGCCGAATGTGACGTTTTATTGCACAGTCGCGCGTGCACAGTTTTGTGCAACAAAATTTTAAATCGAGGGCAGCGAGACGCCGAGCGGTAACAAAGAACGTCTTTTATGCTCGGCGGTTCGAGGCTCTCTTTAGAATTCGCTTATCTCAACGTGTAGCGTTTTGACGAAAACGAATCTTGCCGCGCGGTTCGTACATTGTTCGCGATCGCGTCGACATTCGGGACGACGAGAAGCCAATAACGCCGAAACCTAATGACATTAGCTTTCGGGGAACAGCTGTCGTTAGCGGGCCTCCCGCGATCCCCGTCGTATTACGATAAATCATCATCGTTCGCTAAGCGAAAGATACAATAGATAAATTCACGCAGATGTGTCTATTATTAGGCACGAAAGATCCGGTTCAACAGTGTATTGGCACATTTTCTATTTACTTGATTGTTATCATAACGGTCATGTCACGCTCGTTATGATAAATCTTTATCTCACTACCGCGTATACGATACACTGTTAAATATTAAAGGAGATGAAAATTAAATACCTTGATTTAAATAACATTTTGTTATTTTTAACTATCATATTAAACTACGTGTAATATGATATTTATATAAAAAATTATTAATATAAATATAATTTAAAATATTTTAAGTAAATAGAAAAATTAATAATTAAAAAATAAGAAAATAAAAATATATATATTAATTATATGCAAAAAATTACAGTTATGTACAAAATTTTATTATAATTAAATATTTTAATATGTGTCGAAATTTATTATTTCAACACAAAACAGTATTATATTTCAACTCTATTGGTTTAGCTAAATTAACGACATATTGAGTAGGAATGATAAAAAATGACCCAAAGTGAGTATAATTTGACCCTACGAATTTAACAGTGTAGCGTACGCCGATGGCTACGTTAACGTTATGGTGGTCCCTCCGATCGAATATGCGCGCAGGACGCCACACCCTGCGCGAGTCCTTCGATTTTCCCGCTGCCCTCGAAATCCCGGAAAGGTTTAATGTCTTCCCTTTCCTTCCTATCCCCCGAACGGCACTCCTACTAATTGTAGCCCTATCTTATGTTCGAGATTGTCCCGAACCTGGTCCTTGGACCCTAAGATTCCGTTCTATTGATGAAAACCATGCAACATTTCGAGACAATCTTGAAAAATGAGATCGGGCTAAAATTCCAACTCTAATCGCATTAATTAACACACTCTAATTCCTTACGCAAGAATAAAACAGTATAATATATAAATTATTAATTATATTGTTAGAAAAAAGAGCCGACGAAGAGGGAGAAGACAGAATAAAATATTGTTACATGAATTAAGACGTGAAAAGAATTCGAGCCGCAGATGCGATAAATAAATAGACAAATAAGAAAATAATACTAAATTAAATTAATGAATAACAAGATCTTGATATTCTTGATTAAAATAAACTTGAGATTATATATCAAATTCGTCATTCGTTCGGAAGGTAGCGAGTGAGCTCTAACGAGGACATTGTCTGACTATATTCGCGCAGGATGTATCCGGGAAAGCGAGAGAATCACCTCCAAACATCCGCCGCTCGTACATCTTTTGCATGCGCGGAACGGCATGCAAAAACGGCGTACTCGTTACGAGAGAGAAACAAAGAGAGAGAGAGAGGGGAGGGCGCAGATTGATTTTTCACTTTCCGCGGATCCTCCACAGCTGCGTGCCGTTCGTCGTGTCGTTTCACGACGTTCTTCGGCGCGCAAACGCCGTGCACGCATCGCCCGATGGGTGCGAGAACGCGTTGGCTTGAGAGTTCGCTGACCGGCAGAGAGAATGCACGCTCGCGCGCGAGTGAGAGAGAGAACGAGAGAGAGAGAGAGAGAGAAGCGACGGAGAGTAGACCGTGACCGTGACCGTGGCCGAGTTGTCGCGGTCGCAATAGACATCGCCGGCGGCGACGAATACCCATTGCGAATCCATGTATGTACGATTTCAGGCGGGTGTAAACATCTCGGGAAAGCGAATCCGAATGAACGAGATCGGTATCTGCAGCTACGTTTACGAGATAAACAAAAAACATATATACAAATATGCTCGAACGAGATATTTAAATTACAAAGCGAGATACCTCGCGGCGAGAACACACGGAGTCTGGTGTCTCACTTCCCTGAAACACACAGGGAGACATTAAGTTTCCTTTAGCTTATTATTCTTTTTAAATATATTTCGTCAGACCGATTTCGCAAGCATGTCCTCGATTCTTCAGCATTTTATTGCAAAATATAGGTGGCATGGAACGAACGGTGTAAATCTAATCCGCGTAAAACGCGATATGTTATACGATATCGACAATCCCAATTTGCTCCGAGATATATTTATAGAAGACCCGAGGACGTCGCATCGAGTATCGATCGGCGTATAACTCCTTCTAAAAATAAAACATCATATTTTCATACGAAGATACATGTCTCGTTTCGAACAAATCACGTTTAATTCTTTTGTATCGCGGGTTTGACGATCGTTCGATTTTTCCAAAAATCCTCAACGGTATGATTCGGCAAGAGAAGAAAAATGCACGTTAATCTACAAATCTACATCTAAAGATAAAAAAAGCCGCGTGTAAAACTACGAGCGGAACATCGACGGTGAGGCAAACAGAGGCGAGGGGGAGTATTGACATAAGTTGTATATTTTGCTATACAATCATCGCATTCGCCGCGTACAATAATAGGTATATTGCGCCATATAATAACAAATGAATACACATGGTATACAAAGCACGATGAAGTACACACAAATCTCAAGTTTAATTAATTCCAGGCATCTCCAAGACGTGTACTCTCTTTCTTTCTTCCTCTCTCTCTCTCTTTTTCTTTCTCTCTTCATTTACGAGGTACGAATGCATTAAAAAAAAAAAAGGGAAAGCTGGGGGTGACTTCTGTTTGACGATATATAAGACACTATCGTGAGGGCACAATCGGAACGCGGTCACGCGTAAATGGAAAAATATGACGACTTGAAATCTGAATGGGAAAAGAAAATGCGAGACGGCTCGATTTTATCTAGGCGTATATCAATATACTTCGCGCCCCACTTTCTCCAATGAGGTAACTATTCTCGATCTATTTGTTTCTCTCGTGAAGCTCGTATAACAAAGGTACAAAACGTCTATTCTAATTATATATTCTTCTTTTCACGTCGTCGCTCATTATTATACAAATGCACGGCAATGCCTAGCCTATACGATCGACCGTTACGTGACTATCGAAAAAACGCCACACACTCTAACACTGTACGGCCGTACGTTATACACACTTTCTTTTTTTTTTTTTTTTTTTATACACGGATCAGCTGACGATGTGACGTGCGCGTTTCTGGGGGTGATTAGGGTTTTCTCAACAATTCTAATTGCATTGCGAGATTAACACATTCGCTACGATATACTCTCCGCGAAGAAACATGGTTGTCGGAACTTTCAATCGGGGAAACACACATGTATGATTTACATCATTATCCGATAAGAATCTCCGTGAAAACTGGAAGAGGTGCGTTGTTTCACGAGAAATCTAGTTAGAATCTATTTCGCTTGCGAGTAATTACTGTAATTAAAATATACATTATAATATACGCAGTTTGTGTAAAATCTTTCAGAGCGCGAAAGTTATTGCATTTTTACAGATATCTCAATATCTGTAGAAGTAAAGAACAGAAGCGTTATAGCTTTTCTTTGTAACCCCTCTCACCAGTTTTTTTTTTTAAATAGTAAATAGAGCATATAATTTTATGCACTGTAGAAAGTGATAAATATGTGATAAACGTACAAAATATTTGAGCAGAGTCTGATTGCCCTCCGAAAACCATGTTGTACAAATATCTAAATACTTTAGAGCACTTTTTACTTTTAATAAGTAATTTTATATATATAATATATAATGGATCAACGCCGTTGGCTGTAACGTTCACTGTAAATTTCACTCGCTACGCATCTAATTTGTCCGGGAATACCGGTTTGTCACATCATGTATCGCTTAAATCATTTTACTACTGCTGTCTGCTTGTACTAGTGATTAAAATATGGTGTGTTGTATATATATATGTATGTGTGTGTGTGTGTGTACTTCGTAATTCTCGAATACTATTTCTATAATCGAATATCTAATCAATTACGAAGAAAACTTAATAAATACCGATTATATTCTCTTTCTCCTTTATTACGTAAAATATGTATAAGCAATTGTTATGGCAACGCGTGTCGACCATAACTAAAGGATATTAAAAATCATCCATCCAACTCTGTGTTTTGGCATTTTACGTCCTTAATCATTACTCGCGAAGTGTAGTAAGGCTAGGAATTGTAAATTATCGTCTCTCCGATTTCTGTGTTCTAAATGGAGCAGAGGACAACCTTTAGTCTTTCCAATCCTTCTTGATCTCGAACGCCCACTCCCACTTGAGGTGCTCGTGCTTGTCGTCGTCTGTGAAGAGAGAACTGACGCTGTAAGAGCCCCGCGCGACGACGCCGGCTGGTGCATCCTCAGCTGGAGTAGTGTAGGACTGTATTTCTGTTTTAGGAGGATACGAGCCTACCATATGCGTCATTTTGTCAACTGAAACAAAAAATCATAGATATAAAGCCCTATCATACTCTACACGGTCGAACTATTGGCTATTCCATTTACCGGTAACTCCTAATTTGCATTAGAAGCGTTAACACACAAGAAATCGAATTTATTATAATTGACCACGAGTGACGTCGTTGCGTCAGACACGGAACAGCGAGAAGTAAAGCGTACGTACCAGGTACGCCAAGGCGATAAGTCTTTTGAACGTATTTTAATCCATGCACGATCTCCCGTTGCACAATAAAGTCGATCCTGATTCTATAGCTCACGCCTTCCTTGATGATAAACGTCTGTTTCTTCAGCTGTGACAAATCGCCGGTCAAGTCCAGCTCCATGTCCGGCCGATCGGCGACGCATAGCGCCAATTTCTTCACTATTACCTTTCTAGGATCGTTAGCATCTACGAGAATCGTGTAATTATTTAAAATGTCATGTCACTCCTACTGTATATTGCAGAGAAAGAGAGCCAATTATCTTTTTTCTACATTTTAAATAGAACTGCCGTATGATAATTTTTCAATGACATATAAATGGGAAGGAAAAATAGATTTTCTTTAATATTATGAAAATCTTATCAGAATCTATATATATCTGTAGTGATAAAAAATTGTATCTCCAATTTTATCAAAATGGAGAGAGTTAATTTACTTTTTCCAATATATCAGGAGCTTAAATTGTGTAATGCTAAAGGATCTTATGTTTACCATTATTACTAAGATAGAATGTTTAGAAAAAATCGTATTGGAAATTTTCACAAAAATAATAAACTTTAAATTTTGTTTTTTCTAAATTTACAATAATGGAGATACAATTCTTTACGATTCTTTACCTCTAAGGTACAGATATATGTGCATATATAAATTATACAGGATTCTTATGGATTTACAATCCATTTGGATAAAATTTGCGAGAAAAATTGTAGAATCAAATTTTCGCGAAACTCGAAAATTACACCCAAGTAATAACAATAATTGCAAACAAATTTTACACTTTAAGTTTATGAAAGTGAATGCCCACCTACTACGATACCGCCGGACTTAGCTTCCCCGAGAAGCGTCTCCTTATACTTGCGCAGACTCTCGTCCTCCTTGTCCGCCTCCAGGATCTGCTCGATGGACTTCTCCGGCGGAGGCTTGTAACTGGACTCCACGTCCGGCTCCTCGGCGTCCAACGCATCTACATGATCACCCGTAGGGTCAGACATCGCTACACGTTCAAACCAGGAAAGATATATATGTAAAAAGACTTGCGAAGAAAGAGAGACAGTGGGAGGAAAGGGTGAGGGGACGCGTGTGTTATCGCGCGAACACGGAGATCTGCTATCCGCTCTGGAAACTCCGGGGATGCGGCGGGCAACGGCGGCGCGTCTCGCGACGGAACAGCGGGGCTGAGCGGGGCGGAAAAGCGCGCGCGTATCACATCTCACATCACGTATATCGGCAGAATATTTATAGAAAGTTACGAGGGAGGTGAGAGTGCGAGAGAGAGAGAGAGAGAGAGAGAGAAAGAGAAAAAGAAATCGATCGGACGTCCGCGCGTAATGACAGAAACCAGCGGAAGATCCTTCAATCTGCCGCCTGCACCTTCCGCACCTCGGAACGAGACGGGTGTACGCTCGCGGAGCAAGAGGACGTCTGTGCCGATCTACACTTTCACGCACTTGATAAAGTGGATAATGGATACACAATCGGACATAAAAAAAGAGAAGGGGGAGGTCCTCGCAGCTGCAGCGTGTCGCACTTTTTGACGTTTGAAATGAAATAGAAAAGGAAAAGGAAAAGGAAAAGGTGCAGTAAGGTGCAGATAAGGAAAGCGCATCCGCGGGGAAGCGGAGTAAAGCGACTAGCCGAAGTTCCTTTTGTTATGCTCTCTCTTACTTTCTCCCTCCCTCTCTCTCATATCTTTCTTTTCACGCTTCTCGGCTCTCGCCCGATTCGCGAACGAAAACTCGCGCGAGGCCGCCCGAGGCGTCGAGAAGAGCGCTCGTCGCTCCCTGGCGTGTATTAAGACGCATTTTCGCGCAGCTACGACATCGGAATCCGAGCCTCGGGGCTCCGAGACTCCAAAATGCTCCGAAACCGGTTCCGATACCTCGCTTGATTCGGGAGCGAATTATTTCATGTCTTTTCCTCTTTTCCCGTCTCGGGGCCCCGGAAGACGCGATATACGGCGCGGCTGAAAGGCGACAGCTCCGAGAAACGGGGAGCCCGTCGAAGTCGGGGAACTCGGAGAGGAGCACTCTCTTTCTCTCTCTCTCCCTCCGGGAGACGGACTCCCGCTGGATAAACTCCGGCCGGAGAGGAGGACGCCGAGACGACGGTGAACGGTGACGGTGGATTTCTCTCTCGCCTCGCCCGGCACGCCCCAGGTGTCCCGGCACTGTCCGCGAACACTTACCGTCGGCTCCCTTTGACTCGGCTCGTGACAGGCGGCTTTTACGACAGTGCGACCGGCCCTCGCGTCTCGCGGGAATCCGCACCGGATTATCGGCAGATTGTTAATCCGCCCCTCCGTCTCGCGCTTCGCCGAGCGGAAGACACGGGCAACATGGCGGCGCGCACGGAAGGGCGGGTACTTCCTGCGACCGCGTGAAGTCAGGCGCGTTCGGATGAAGGTTATGTCGCGCGAGCCTCCCGCGGACGCGTCTCCGCGTATCCAGCTGTCCTGGCTGTCCATGGGAAAGATCGCCGTTATTTGCGGCCCGAGATCTTTCACGCGGAGATCGCGTTTACCGCATGATGACACAGATCTGTTAATCTGTGATGATGATGAATCCATTTTTTTTTTTAAATCGAGAACGCGATATCGATTCTCGTGCCGGCAATATGGCGCTAAACTTTTGACTTGCGCTACCTGGTAAAATTGGTCCGGCGACCTTTCTCTTTCCAGGTTTATTTCCTAGATTTATTTTAACTGTCCTATTTCCGAACTATCGAATCTTGTACGAATTTTATATGAATAAAAGCTCACTTTCAGTTATATATCTTGTATAAGTTGAAGATAAATCCTACACAGAAAATTTACAGAGAAAAAAAAGTTTAATTTCCGACTTGCTGTACCAAAGTGGGACCAAACGTCTTACGGCGTCATATTTATTATTGTTATATTTAAGAGAGTCGATGCTTTTAACTGGTTCAACATGTATGATAAAAAAAAACTCGTACCTCGTAAAAATATACACCTAACTTATATCTGTTAAGACAAACAATTGTATTGGGTTACAGAACCGTCTGCTTGAGAAGTCAATCTTGTTTGAATATACCCTGGCAATATTCCAAGAGCGCGTCTACTCCCGCTTTGTTCCTGAAATTCGGCCGGCAGCCGTGCAGCTTTTGATGCAGCAGCTCGGGATAGATTCTCGCGACGCGCTTTAATGCGTCTGAAAAAAAAAGAAAATAATATTAAAACTGTAATAAAAAAAACCCTCACTGATATCAAAGAATATTAAAGAGTCGCGTTACGTCGATTAATTAATTAAAAATTATGACTCGAATTATCGCTGAAAAGGCTGAAAGGATGAAAAGCTATCGACCGTTACCCAACATTATCTCTTGGAAGCGAGGCTCCGGATCGTCCAGGTGAATAATCATCGTCGTATACAAGGCATCGACGTGACACCTGCTGACGACAGTGTCGTAATCATCTGACGCGACGCTCCATACGTCCACGAGTGCCTCCACCGCGGCGTAGCGAACGTCGTCGCAGCCGTCGTCGAGTCTCTTCAGGATCACCGGATACGTGCGATGGATATGCGCGTCGTTCAGACAGGACAGCCTCTGTCCAATCGTCACTAACAAACAAATGGCACGCATGGAGTACAGCCGAGTCTTCTTCGCCTTATCGTCCACCAGGCTGACCAGAACGGGCACGATCTCGTCGAAGATGGACGGGAACTGCTCCGCCGTGATGGACGCTCTAGATTTCTCGTTTTTCTCGTTCGCGAATAACTCCGCTTCGTTAATCTCATCCTTCTCGTCGGGATTAACTATCTTGTTCTGTAGAACGGCGCAGAGGCAGCAAACGGCGGCCGTGCGAATAGCCTCGGCCGCTCTGCCAGCGGCCCAAATGAGCCCGGGCACGATCAATTGCTCGACAATCGTGCTCACGAATCTATGCGGATCCTCGATATGACGATGTAAATTCTGATTGTTCAGAAAGTACTCCGAGAGCAGAATAAAGTGTCGCAGCTTCAGCTCGGGATCGGCGTCCTTGCTCATGGTTTTCTCGAAGATCGGTAACGTAAGGTCCATATTACGTGACATGGCGACTCCAGCGCGGCTTAGACAAGCGCAGAAAATTTGCGATTCCGCGCTGTAAACCGTCCACGATGAGCAATCATCGCTAATCGACATTATCAGCGGTCTCGCGTGATTGTAGAAGAGTTCCTCGATGTCCTTTAGCGAGTTTATACCGACGAGTATCTCCAAGAGCCTGTCTGCTTCCTCACGAATGGAAGGCTCCGCGCTCATCGCGTACGTGGTGAATATTACGGCGAATAAAGCTTGCGTAACTGCCACGCAATCCTGTGCATTACAATACGCTGTTAGATCTAAGAATTAAGTCAAAGAAGAACAAAGTTTTTGATTAAATACGAATAAATGTAATAAATGTGCGTATAACGAGGAAAGAATCATATTCGGACCTCTTTGCAAACTACGAGAAGGGAATTACAGCAGGACAGTATCTGCCGTTGATAGTTGCTCTTTTTACTCTGACAGATATCCGGCTGTTGCAAGAAGTTCGCAATCTCGTTCAGCTGTTGCGACAGAGCCCTCCGTTCGCTACCGCTAATAATCGCCGCGAAGACACGCAAGTGTCCGGTTGTCGGAGACTCTTCCAGAGTGGGAAGCACCAAGTGGCAGTAAATCTTGGGTTGCACGAAGTAGCCCAGATATCGCGCCGCAGTTTCCACGCAACCGATGACCCTCTTATCTTCGTCATTGCAAGCGCTGCAATTAGATTTTTTCATAAGTGGAAAATTTTTGTCAACAAGAATCTTGATAAAAGTAAAATGATTTTGGTAAGAGATAATCTGCCTCTGAATTCTATCTAATTTCCAGGGAGTAATGAAAAGTAAATCTTACCGATACATAGGCGGCAGAAGCTTTTCAATATGTTGCGTAACGTTCTCCTCGACATTCAATATCAGTACACAGAGTAATTGCGCGGAACGCACACGTATATCTGGCAACCAATCTCCAAGTTCGGCGCTGATACCGCTAATGAGCTTGCATAAATTTTGCTGCGCGATCACACGACATCCTAAGTTCGGCCTGGAAACTAGAAATGACGATCTTACGTAGCTTGAGTTTCAATATGACGCGTAGACTGTCCGTAACTTTTTAAAAATAACTTACCCTCTGGAGGATAATGCTCCGGGTCTTCCGCGAGAAAGTCCATCTTATCCTTCAACTTCTCGTCGTTTTCGTTTTCCTCCATATACAATTTTCCCGCAGCGTCCCACATATCTGCCGCTTTCGCACGAATCTCCACAAGTTCGTCGTGCAACCCCGTCATGATCAGGGGAAGAAGTCTGTGCCACCAGCCGTATCTGTCAGGTAGCTTTATCAACCAGCAGCCGGAGACTTCAATTACAGCTTTAAAAAGTTCAATACAATTATATACTCTACAGATTCAATATAACTATACGAAATCAAGAAAAAGAATTGCAAAACATTTATTTGAAATGTATACCTTCCCTGACAATTCCACTTTGGTCAAAGAGCCTCTGTGCCAAAGGAGTCGCCACTTCTTCCATCGACTTGCTATTTCCATACTGAATCGCATCGCCTATCGCTTCAACCGCGGCGAGCCGAACTCTGTAGTGTTGATGCGTAAAATTACTCAGAATAGGTTTTATTAAATACTCCGATTGCGAATAGAAATGTCTCGATAAAGTCTTCGCGTAGTCGGATATACATTTGCAGCTCTCCTTCTTTACATTCGGATAATTATCCGTAACGGTGCGTGCCAATATTCCTGTCACGTCCTGAATATACGGCACCAACAAATCCTTGTACTTCAGAATTATCAATCGTAAAAGAGAGACGCATTTCAGTCGCACTTCTTCCGACGGTTCGATCAGTTCCTGCATGCCCAGTCGTCTTGACATTATCGGCAAAATGTAGATTATGTGCTTGTCGTCGGGCGGCAAAGCTTCCAGAAATATTTTCAGTATCCCTACAGACAGATCTCGGCACGTTTCCATACTATCGTTCATGATTCTAACTAGAAATCTGTGTACACTTTCCCATATTTTAACTAGATCGTCCGGTCTCCCCGATATTTCCTCCCGAGATATGTTTTTCAATATTTCCTCTAACGCCTGTCTGCGACGATTCTTCTCGTCCGCTTGCAACGAAACGACAATCTTACTTAATTCGAGATCCAAAGCCATATTTATCTGAAATGGATTTCTTTCTTAGAATCAAGATAATAAATATTATAATAGTACAAATTCTTTATACGAACTTTGGAATACAGAGGAAAATATATCGATTTAAACACTGTATGTGTCTCCATGACAACACACTCTCGGATTGATCTTTCTTATATAATCTGCGGTCTCTTTTGACGAAATCGTCACCGTTATAAATTTTCAAGTTTTCTGTAAATATCCGTTTTTCTTATTTAATATAATAACTAAAATATTTACAGAAAAATCTTTATATCTTGAAATATATTTATTATGTCTTGATCTAAAATACACTTTTAATTATACAATAAAACTAGCACTAGATCACTGGTAAGCATAGAATACACGTCTATACTGACTTTACAGAGTTCTAAAATTGTACAGTATCTATTATATGCAATGACTATATTACGTATTCGAATACGCTTACAATTGGCTATTTTATATTAATCTAATATGGACTATAGAGAAAAGGTGACTACAAAGGAACATGTACATAAAGACATTCGGCCGATTATCTTCACTGATGAACGCAAGGGTCTAGTTTATACGTCCACTATTATTTCACAAGTTGGGGAAATATAAAAATAGTGTAGAAAATTAAGAGACGGATATGTATTCTGGACATGGTCCCCGGCATTGAATTTTTTGTGACTTTCAATCGTCATTTATTCATGCTCAAGTTGTAACTTTTCATGTGCAATAATCGTCTAGTTTCTAATCTTCCAAAGTTACATTTTTAAACAGATACGACATCGACTCCTTATTGTGTATACGTCGAATTGCCTCTGCTAAAAGAACGCTAATGTCGACAGTCTTGATTTTCGGGCATTGCATCTTCTGCACGTCGTGGGGAACTGTATTGGTTACAACGACCTAAAAAAAATTCAACGGAAAGGTTTTTTTTATCAGTCTAAAATCCATTACTTATTGATGTATTACCTCGTCGATCGGGGATTCCTCGAGGAGCCTAGGCGCGTCTGAGCTAAGCAAACCATGTGTAGCTAAGACATATATTTTGTAAGCTCCTCTCTCTTTAAGTGCCTCGGCAGCTGCTACGTACGACTGTACATCATCTATCATGTCGTCCTGCAAATTCATTTCTCTCGCCAAATCGTAGATCATACAGCGTATATGAACGCAATATAATCACTTTACCCACCACCATAATAGCGATGCGTCCTCCGACATCCCCGACAACGCTTATAGGTGGCTTTTCCTTCGCTGGATGTAAAGGCACACCCACGCCAACTTCCATCGTACGCGCGGCCATTGCTAGGGCAGGTGGCGAATAGCGACCGTCGTTCATGTCGGATTCAGCTTCTCTTTGTTCTCCGTGAATCACTGCGATTCCCAGTCGTAGCCTTTCAGCATAGCTAGTCGCTTTCTTTGCACTACCTGGATTTCTTGCAACGATCACAGAATTATGGTAATCAGGAATCTGACAAAGAGAAGATACAATTTATATAAAAAAATGCATGATATAAAATAAAACACATACATCTGGAGTAACATTTAAATATCTTATTAAAGATATGATTCTGCGATATTATCAAAAGAGGAAAATCTATATTTTCAATTCAAGATACCGGGGTCGCTTAAAATAAATCGCTATTATATAATCCAAGACAAGTTTTATAACATAATAACTGTTATTAATAGTTTACAGTGATAGGTGCGTTAATCTGGTTAATCTTGTTACATACGGATTCTTGAATGTACTGCAGAAGGAATGGACTAGCTCTGAGATTATCCACGGGAACATCAAAGAATCCTTGGATTTCTTTCTGGTGGAGGTCCATGGTGATAATATGAGTTAGGCCGCTGGTGCATAGCATCTTTGCCAAGAGCTTGGACACTATGCAACCGCGCTTGCGCATTTTGCACTGCTTGGAATAAGGTAGATACGGAATCACCCCGACGATGTTTTTGGCCGATGATGTCTTACATGCGTAGGCCATGATGAGAAGCTCCATTATGTTATTGTTTACATCCTTCGAGCCGGTTTGGATTATATACAAGTCCTTGCCGCGCACGGAATCACCTATCTCCACCATTGTCTCGCGATTTGACTTATGGTACACGGAGCAACCACCAGGCTTTACTCCCAAACGACTTTGAACATAAAACAAAATATTCTAACATGCAAATATCTTTTGCCTTTCCTTCATCAAATAGATTTAAATAGTATTAGACATTTAACTTTAGTCATAATTAATAATAAGCAGCAAACTATATATACTTATGTACAACTTTATATATACATATGTTAGAATGACAGTTTAATAGCAGTTAGAATTTAAATAACCAATAATTCAATATTTGTGTGTTGTCAATTTGTAGTAATATATGTTTCATATATATGTACCAACAATAAAATAGAAAAAACATAGTTATAATAATTTTAAATCAATGATTTTCCAAACTGTTTAGAAATTATTCTTTTCAATTTATTGACTCAAGAAATTCTCTTTTTTTTCTTGAATGTACATAAAACATGAAACCCCTTGAAAGAGGAGGTCTACTGTTGACGTGAGTATATGTTGCAAAAACAATCGTAATCGACACGTCAAAATACCGTCGTCCAAAACAGATCGGCTTTCACGTTTGCATTCCACGCATTCCATTGTTCGTCACTCACTTTGCAATCAGGTTGGCGAGCTCCGGATGAGAATTGCCCGCGACGATGACTATGTCCGACGAAACTGGCTTCTCCATCATGCCGACGGTTCGCTCAGCAGCTACGCAACAACGAGGCCCTCGAGGAACACAAGCGACGAGATTTACCTGGAAAGAACTTCACTTTACAAGCCGTATTATCTCCGTGTGACCCCTCGACCGCCAAATCCGTATGTACTTCGAGCAGACGAAAACTGCGCGTCTCGGAGCGACGGAGAAACGCTTATAGGCTCTCGCAACGTAATTGTATTAAATTTTTTCTTTTCATTTCTGTGAATTTTCAACGTAGTTTTTAGGAGCGCGATCGTTTGCCCGGGTGAATTTGTCGGAATGACGTGGAAAAAGATAATGACGTGCGCAAAATGTGTTAAACGTACCTCGCGATAAACAAACAATCGATCAAACTTCCGTCCCCTCACGCGCTTCCGACGATTACGTTGCGGCCGTAAACTCGATTAGCCTACTCCCACATCCGTCCGTTCTCGCGTACCTCGGTGGTCGGTTCAATCATCCGATAATCCGCCGCTATTCAATTATACGAAGGGTGGATCTGGGAAGAAAAACTCTCGGTTCTCTTCAATTGTTCCTTGCCACTTCGCCGCCGACAGGTCGCCGTTATAAACGCGTGCCCTCGTTAGGTACACTCGACCGCGTTTACGATCGTTTATTGCCTTTTTGTGCGCAAGACCCTGAATGTTAGGAGCGTCTAGATCAGTCTAGATGATCGCGCGCTAGAAAAATCATCTGTCTATTAATTCAACATTGTATGATGCATTATTTTATAATTTTACATATAAGTTATTTAGTTATATAAGATTTATAAATCATACTATAATTCATATAATATATAAAATATTTTTATATTGTATAAATTTAAAAAATAATTAATAATTAATGCATTAATTATTTCTTAAATTTTCTGAGAGATCCCACGTGTGTCACACAATTGTGCAATTGTCAAACTAACTTCAGACGTAAACATATATGAAGCGGAATGTACATTGTGAAGCCAGCATTAATCCTAGCCTGATAGAAAAATGAACCAATCACGCGACCAAGGAACACCGCCATGTTTCGCGCATCGTGACGCGTGATTGGCTGGTCCCCGTTATGCAACTGTGCACTCTGGATCGGCCCTCAAGTGCAAAAGGAGCCAAAGGAGGTTTCTTCGGCGACCTCGACGAGGCTAAACACTGTGACTTGAATTTCTGTCAATTCCGGCTGTGGAGCAGCCGAGGGATCTGAAATAAAAATTATCGGGGAACATGTAGACGGAAGTGTATCGATGGTATATGATAAAAATATTTTCTTTAGTATATCAGTGATACAATAATTTTGAGAACCGATATGTAAACGTAACACGAGACTCAAACAGATAGCTGTCAAATCAGTGTCATATGACAACATCAGTGATAATACAGTTAAAAAATAATAATTTCAAACTGATAAATGTGTGTGTGTAACTCATCTGTTTTTTTTTCTATGGACTCTATATGTTGCAGATAACTGGAGTTTTTGGGCCTTCCATTAGGCTCTAGGAGATAATACTGGCAGCCAAAGATATCACAGTCACCCATGGCTCTCTAATAGATATTTTCGATTAGCCTTACTCAATTAACCTCGTTTCCAATTGTACGTGTGAAAACCAGCGGAAGAAACATGCATGCGACCCGCGCCGACACCTCCGAGAGGCGATTCGAAATACAATGCAAACTGGAGTCGGAGATCGCCGCTCTGGAGGCTCTGAAGGAGGCGGAGGAACGCAGCCGGCGATTGACGAGCGGGGTTGTTGGAATACTCTCTTCCTTGGAAGACCGTTTAGCTACGCTGCGCCGTACGATACTTCCTGTTTACAACGAGACTGGGAATCTCCAGGCCCAGCAACACAGTACGCATATGACATTATCATTTCTCAAGTTTCAAAGCTATCTCCTTCGCTAAGAATTCCTTATCGTTCTTCCTCGCTCTCGTATTGCAGATATAGAGAGGACTTTGAGCGTGCTGGATCACGCTATTGGATACTACGGCGTGTGTCAAGAGGTGGAAGCCGTGGTACGCGCCGAGCCGAGCGGGCCCGGTGGTCTAGACGGTTTCCTCGAGGCTATGAATCGATTGTACAACGCTCAGCGATACTTCCAGAAAAACAATCCCAGTTCCGTCGAGTTGCAAAACGTCACGGGCCTCTTCTCGATCGGCCTAGAATCGCTTTATGCCGAATTCCACGATATTCTCAATCGCCAAAGTAGACCGATCCTTCCCATTGTGCTTCTGGATCTAATCGGCTCCGACGAAGACACCAGCAGCGAGGATGCGCCGCAGTCTCTGTGCCAATTGCCCGAGAGCGTCATGAGCGATTTGCTCAAGATCGCCGGATGGCTCGAGGAGAGGGGCCACCGTAGACACACGAAGATGTACGCTTCCGTACGTTCCGCCATTTTCCTGAGATCTCTGTTGCTGCTCAAGGAACATCAGAGGAGCGCCAGCGGTGGTAGCACCCACGGTGGAAGTCCTATGCCTGTAAATGAACAATACATATGTAGTAATATGTAGTTCTTCTAGATATTATTTGTGCTAACATAATTATTTATTCGCAGCGGGCGAAATTCGCCAACCGACACTCTCTGGATGGCCAAGAGAACGCGGGGCGTAAAGCGTCGCGGCGGCTGCAGCACGCGTTGGACAAGGCCAACAGGATGCTGTTGAAGGCATCGCAAACGACGAGGCTGAACCTGGCTCTGAACTCGGTGTCCAGGAAGCCGACGTTGCAACTCGCCCCGTACTCGATGGAGGACGCGGCGCCCGACGAGCAGGAGATGGAGAATTATCTCTTGCTAGCGGCTGGCCTGCACAAGCTCATACAAGCCGAGCGCGCGCTGGTCGCGAAGATCCTGCCGACTTCCCTGCAGGCGCAAGTGCTCGAGGCCACTGTGCGCGACGCGATGGACCTGGTGGCTCACGACGGAGACAGCATAGCCACGCGCGCCAAACGTTGCATCACGAGACGCGACTTCTCCGCCGTCCTCGTGGTCTTCCCGATTCTGAAGCATCTCGGCGAGCTGAAGCCCGATCTCGAGAGAACGGTCGAAGGTTGCGATTACGCGCTCCGCTCCAAGTTCGCATCTGTACTCGACACGTTACATACAACCGTATGTGTTTCGTCGCTTTTATTCTTAGATCATTCAGGTGGCCCCTGTATGATTTAGATTTTTATTTCAATTAGCAAAATTTTGAATTAACATTCATAATTAAAATGTTTTAAATTATCAAGGTTTAAAAGAAGATTTATCAGTTCATAAAGGATCGAAAAATTATCGAGGTTTCTGACAGATACTTCATTAGTATTCTTTGAGTCTTATCGTCAAACATGTTGAAACATCCAGTATTTAAAATAATTAAAACGTGACTAACTTGAGTAATGTGACTCAGTGTCTTCCGGTTGATGTAAATGGCGTATATTTCCGCGATAAGACGCATAGATATTAAATGAATCATTGTACAAAAAAAAGAAGTCCACGATTTTACGTATTTTGAGCATCGTTTTATGTACGATATTTTGGCACATTTTTGTATTAAAAGAGATTACTCCAATATGCAAATTGAATCGTTCACTTTAAAAAGATACTAATTACATAGTAGCACCGTATATAATATTAATATACAATACAATGACGAATGAATTGTCGCAGATAGAAACCGGTAAAATTTTATAACTATTTTTTATGCGCTTTGCTACTTGTCATAAATTAAGAATAAAGATGCGTAACCAATATAATGAAACTATTTAATTTTGCAGGGTGCTAAAGCTCTGGAAGAGTTCGCGGAATGCGTGAGAAATGAATCCGGCGCGGGTTTGCCAAAGGACGGTACCGTGGCGGAAGGAACTAGTAACGTCTTGGTCTTTCTGGAACAGCTGGCTGAATACGCGGATATGGCTGGTGCCGTTCTTCGACGCAATCTTTTCACAGATCAGTCTACGTTATATTCGAAAGATCCGGAAAATGTACATAAAACGGTTCTCGGTGTATACGTCAGTAAGTTCATTGCCCACTATTCTCCGTAATTTAATTTAAAGCGACTGAAATATCATCGTGGGAATATCGTTGGTTTGACCGAGGGTCGTTTTGTCTTCTTACAGAAAAGGTACTTGCTCAATTGAATCTGGCGCTAGTGAGTAAAAGCGACGCGTCTTATTCCGATCTCGCTTTACGAGCTTTATTTCGGCTGAATAACCATAATTACGTGGTTAACGCTCTCTGTCGAAGTTCTCTTATGGAGCTGCTCTTACTGGCCGAGCCAAGTGCGGAACAAACATATCACGATCTACTTCGCAAAGACAAAAACAATTACGTTACTACGACATTTGCCAAGGCCCGATCGTATCTCGCAGACGAGCCAGGTTTGTGCCTTAACGTAAAAGCTTTCAACGAAGCTATAAGTAAGATTCTAAATACCTCTTATAAGTCACAGAAAGAAATAGCAAACATACACGTGTTTAGATCGCATTCATAATATCGTGTATTGTTAAGTCTACTTTTTGAAACAATCACGGAAGTTTTTCAACAATTAACGGATCTAGACTTATCGTTAGTCGCATTAATTTCTGTTACGCGTTTTTTTCTCCCCCTCGCATAGATCTCGCCGCCAAAACGTTGAAGGAGAAGTTCTTGGGTTTCGCGCGAGAACTCGAGGAAGTGGCCAAGTGTCAGCGTTCGTACTCGGTGCCTGATAGATGTCTGCGCGAGGAGTTAAGGAAGGAATTGCAGGAGGCGATCGTACCGCTGTACACCGCGTTCCACAACAAGTATCGCGGCACGTCGTTCTCGAAGAATCCGGCGAAATACATAAAGTACACCCCCGACCAGATATCGGCGCTGATCAACACGTTTTTCGACACCGCCGCGTAATAAAATGTTACATGTGTGCCGTACCGAAGATTTGTTTCTCTCGCCAAGGAATTAGCAGAATAATTTAATAAACACCCATTTAATAAAGCATATTTAGTTACAATAGTTTTTATGATTCTTTTTCCGTACGGACCGAATCTTCATTTCTTTCTCAAACAGATTGCACAGAGATTAATATAGAATCTGCGATGATTGAGAGTCTAGTTAGGTCTTGGTCCAGCTTCCCCTCCCCTCCCCAGCGTTTTGTTTTATACATATTTATAATATATATATAAAAAAACAAGTAACGATTTAGATTCGATCAGCGACTTTTATATACATATACATATATATAATCTATTTATATATATATATGTATATATGTATGTATATATGTATATGGCTCGTATTACCACTTACAATATACGCATACGCGCGTACGTAAAAGTCGTATACTATATGTGGTAATAAGTAGGAATACATTTGAAGTTCAGCATTTATGTACAGTTGTTATGTTATAGCGAATTCTCTCTCTCTCATTATATACTTACACATTCATGCTTCACTCTCAAATTCATTCTCTCTTCCGTACTGGTTAACAGTCTCTCGTTTTTCTCGCGCATACAAAACATTCACGCGTCCTCTGCTTCAGTAGTCGTATCCTGTTTTTCTTTTTCTAAATGCGGCATTATACTCGTTTTTTTTTCCCCTTTTCAATTCCAGCCCGATGACACGGTAATTCCTGTGAGAAAGAACATGCATTGTGCGCACTAATCACAGATCACCGCGCAAGAGGCAACGTGCAAGATCGGAACAACACGAAGCAGAGAAATCGTTAAACTCGATTTGACATTTATACTTATATCACATACATCTAGAACTCTTGTACAGTTAGCTATTTTTTTCCCTTTTTCTTAAATTACGGTATGTAACATTTACGATAATGTTAACCAATTTAGTGGAAGAAGGAAGCCATGTTATGCGGCCGCGCTGCGCTACCGATTCCGCTTGGAAAATATAGCTATCAGGTTTTTTATTTTATTTTATTTTTCGCGCGTCTATCGGTTAATTATCGTTTTCAGAAACTCACCCTCGAAGCGAAACTATATTGTTAAACCATTGCGTTTCAACAGAATTAAATATAGGACGTGCACAGTGAACATTGAATGGCATTCGATTAACGCATCCAACGCCTTCAATTAGATTTTATATACAATTTCTCAAACCTAGGACTTTTACGAAAATAACAGATCGGTATTTTTTCAGAGGCTAACGAATTCTCTTTGCGTGTGAAAGCAACTCTGTCGAAGCTCCGTTAAAGCTTCCAATAATATATATTGCATTGAACGTTCGGAATCAAAAGAAATACTTATGGTTGCTCTAAGTACTTGGAGAAATGTATATATGCGTGGAGTTACCGTTATTCACATTTATAATGAACATCTATATGAATATCGTCCAAACAGATTTGCCATGTATTCTACGCACATATCTCTAAAAAATATTCTCTCTTTCTCTCTGAATTCATATCATGATGCATATTGAAATCCTTCGCGATAAGGAAAACTACTGATTTTTTTTTTCGTCTTTTTTTTCCATTTTAAATGCGTTAACTATACGTGTCCTACCTAAAATGTACAATGGCAAATAGCATAAAATGGTTTTCCTCTTTGATTAAACTGATCAGTGTTATACAGTCAGTGTTTGGACGCTTATACAATTATATGGTAATATTTGCTTTTTTTCTTTTACCATTCATTATATAATTATTAATTGTAATATTAATAACGTACTTCTAGTATACTGTACAGTGGTTAGTTCAGTTATTTTGGCTTCTTTTACACTCCTTTCGCTTAGAACATCCAGTCGATTCGCATTTTATAGCCCTATAACATCATCAGACTGTCTAGACTGGAAGTTTTGCTCGCGTAGACAGCAGGAAACCTCCCCCGTAATTTATCTCTCCTTTAGGATGTGCTGGAGGCCACATAAGAATAAATTTTAATATTTCGAATTCACGATTCCCTGTGAACCCTCTTTTGTTTTGCTCGCTGGAAATTTGATACCGAACTGACGTTTGTGCGCTTATGTGCTGGCAGAAGTTTTGCAGCCTCTTTGCTGACGTAGGCTGGTACAACTGGGGTTCCAAATAGTCGGTAATTCACCCGATCGATTCGATTGTGGTGCTTGGTACACTGGAGATGAGACGACGTGACACTTTTTTTTAACACATTCCAGTACCAACGTGCAAAGAGGGATACATTTAATATTATAGAAGGAAACATCTGCGCTTTGGCTTCACTTGCAGAACGGGGCACAGCACGGCGCGTATCGCCTCGTCGAACACAGTCTTCAAGCCTTTCTGCGTCAGGGCGGAGCATTCCAAGTATTTGACAGCGCCGATCTCCTTTGCCATTGCCAAACCCTGCGGCAAATGAGATACGTATTGAATTAATAACGTTCTAAATATTTATATATAACAAAAGAAACTGTCACTCGTGTATTATTTATCAATTTCCTTGACATTTACAACTTGCGATGCATTTCCTATGGAGCTAAAAATGTAACGTTGATTTCTCAGTCATTATTACTCTCTCTCTCTCTCTCTCTCTCTCTCTCTCTCTCTCTCTCTCTCTCTCTCTCTTTCTCTATTCTCTCTACACTCATTTTAATCTAAAAGTATACTCTTTGATCGTTTTAAATACCAAGTCTTTTTATAATCACGTTATGAAAAACAACGTAACTGGAAGGTCACAAACCTGAGGGTAAGTAATGGGAGCTAGCTTCTTGTCTTTCAAACGCTCAATGGTCTCCTTGTCCTCGCGCAGATCCAGCTTAGTGCCGACTAAGATAATCGGAGTGGCAGGACAGTGGTGACGTACTTCCGGATACCACTTGGCGCGCACGTTCTCAAAACTCGCCGGGTTCACCAGCGAGAAGCAAATCAGAAAAACGTCAGTTTGTGGATAAGACAACGGCCGTAGTCTGTCGTAATCCTCCTGTCCCGCCGTGTCCCACAGGCCGAGATTGATCGGCTTACCGTCCACCATCACATTCGCGGAATAGTTGTCGAACACCGTTGGTATGTACTCCCCGGGAAATGCATTGGTGGTGTAGCTGATCAACAAGCACGTTTTACCCACCGCACTGAGGAACAGAGAAACGTAACGATTAACAGTCATCCATTTACTCGTACAAAAAACGGAGTACAAGTCCGAATTCATTTTACATAACATCTCGTTAGATGAATCATTGCGCGAGGAGTGGAATTTTCATTCGCGAATCGCAAGTTGCTCCGAAAATTCGCTCGCCAGCAATTTTTCGGAGCATTTCTCTTAAAAGACATGACACGAGCGAACAAATCGCTCCGAGCCCGCGCCGTCTCGTGCCGCGTGTCGAGGGAGCCTCTCGTCATCGACGAGAACGGCCCGTCGTGCGAGGGGCCGGGGAGAACGTGACGTCCTCGCGCGGGCACGTCAACGTCGTGCCGCGGGCCCCGCACGACGGGCGTGGTGGGCCTCGCGGACGAGAAACGGGGCCGCCCGCGCTCGCGGCCCGGGAAAGGAGGCGAGGGAGCAGTCCGGAGCGCGTCCGGAGATCGCGCGGGGCCCGGCCGAGGGCGGCGGATCTCTCGGGATCCCTCGCGCCCGAGTCCGGGGGGTCTCCCGGACGCGGTGAACGGGTCCTCCCCGCGGTGGTTTCCCGCCGTGCTACGTACCCGTCGCCGACGACCACGCACTTGATGGCCTGCATCCTGGATGTCCGATGCCGTCCGTAATACACGTACGGAAGCACGTAAAATCGCGCGATACACTGAGTCGATTCTACGCGGGAGGGAGAGAGAAAGAGAGAGACAGAGAGAGAGAAGAGAGAGGGCGGGAGAGGAAGAGACAAACGGCGCGGTACGTATACGCGACAGGAAGAGGGCAGCGGCGACGGGAGGAGAAGAAAGAGGAGGAGAAGGAAGAGGAGCGCGTCGAGAGAGAGGATGGAAGGAGGGGGGGTCAGGGGGAGAGAGACGTGAAAGAGAGGAGGTCGCGGGAGGAAGCGCGACGGACGCAGCGATAGGATTGAGGTTAGAGCGCGACGGAGATACGTGACCGTGACGGAGGCGCGATGAGCTCCAGCGACTGATTGGTCGGCGTCGCGCGACTGGCTAGTGGCTTGGCTTTGGCTTGCTCGCTTTCGGTCCGGCCCGGGGGCACAGCGCGGCGACGATCGCAGCGGGAGGCGGCACGGGACGGATGAACGGATCCGACCGCGAGGCGCGACGTATCTCTCGGAAATTCCTACGCGACGAGCGGAGCGAGGAGCGAGCGCTACGAGCGAAAGGTTATCGACACGCCTGCGCGGCACCCCGATAGATGGCGCGTCGTCCGACGCGGAGAGACACGCCAATGGTTGACGTTTTATTTCTAGGTTATGTCTCGTTAGGCTAGTTTTAGTCAATTAGCTTTGATTAGAGGTGGTATCTTCTTTTTCTTTTCTTTTTTTTTTTTTAAATAAATATGCATTTATAAAGCTATATAATGCCGCGGAAGATACGTGTTATGTTCGCGACCGCGACCGCGCTGGGTATATGCGTCGTGATATTTCAGGTACGACACATTGATGAAACTGATTGACAGCCAGACGTCCACGGTAGCTAATTGATTCTAATTTTCAGTTATGCTTAATACTCGGCGACCGCAAACGATTGTCTCTCTCAGGTAATTTTTGTTTACTGCCATGTCGATGCTTCTCGGCAAAAGATTGACGTGTCTCGATGTTCTGTCACGCCCAGATGACGACGTGCCTGTCGTATTGTGGTGGACGCCGTTCGGTAGTAGGAATCGGGTGAAAACTTGCGGGGACGCTAGATGTTACTTCACGCACGATAGAGCGTTTGAGAGCAACGTACGCTTGAAAGTACGATCCTCTTGCATTTTCTACCTCTCTCTGAATTGGTTTGGAGTAAATTTTCTATATTCTGCATGCACTCGTGTCCATTTCTTCCAATGCGGATTTTAAGTTTGATCTCGGTTTAACTTACCTTTTTTATCTTTTTCTAATTCTCAGAACTGGAAAAAGATAAATTAAACTGAAATCGAAGTTAATCCGCATCGATAGAAATGGACGTTACTTGACTTTTATAGAGCATTCTGTTTTACGGAAGTAATCTTCGCGTCCGTGATTTGCCCGGTTGGAGGAACAGTGCCATATCGTGGGGCTTACTTCACGAGGAATCTCCTAGGAATAATCCTGTACTCGTTCACGAAGAAGCGCTCAATCTGTTTAACTACTCTTCTACATTTAGCAGATTTAGTAATGTACCACTCACGCTTCTCGACTTACCAGGTTTAGAAGAATTAGTAGGTAAAGGAAAGACACGACTGACGGAAGTAATTTTCTCCAACTCTAATTTTCTAATATTTAAGTAACGATACGTATAATAAAAAATTTTACGAACTTCACGAGTCTCAAATCTAAAAGTATATAAAAATAGGATATTTGTGTATGTGTAGAAAAGTCGTATTACATGTCTACCAAAGAGAAGTCTGCATTGATGCATGCAGAAGATTTAGCACCAGTATTATACATTCAATCCGACTGTGATACCGCTAGTGACAGGGATCGCTATGTCATAGAGTTAATGAAACATATTCGAGTTGACTCCTACGGTGCATGTGTGAATAATGCACAGCTCGACGACAGGTACATTTACTTAATGCAATTATGGTTTTACTCCCAGCAATTTATGGATTATCAGCGGATATAAAACGTGCCCGTTTTCTCAGGTTGAAGAACAACTATCTCGATATTTTAAGTAATCGTGAATTCTTGTCCTTTGTGGCCAAATATAAGTTTACCATAGCCTTTGAAAATGCGATTTGCGACGATTATATCACGGAAAAACTGTGGAGGCCGCTTATCGTTGGTTCTGTACCAATATATTACGGATCACCATCTTTTAAGGTATTTTTTTTCTCTTGAAAATTGTGATTCGAGTCTCGCAATTGAATCCGCTTTATCTACTAGATTTTTGACTTTGTAGGATTGGCTCCCAAATAATAAATCTGCTATCTCGATATTAGACTTTGCCGGTCCGATAGAGCTCGCCAACTTGTTGCACAATCTTTTAAAAAATGATTCCGCGTACGAAGAGTACTTGTCTCACAAATTAAGCAAGCGCGAAAATCGCGTTACAAATAGCGAGCTGCTACGCGTGCTTGAAAGGAGACCGACGGGAATTGCTAATGAATTTGGGAATTACGTGGAAGAATTCGAATGCTTCGTTTGCGAACGAATACAGAGGAACGATCACAAATTAGAAAAGAGCGTAGTGACGAAAAGACAGTACAATTGTCCTCTGCCGAGAGATCCGATAACAGGCGAGATCAATAAGCGCAATTGGTGGACAGAACAATGGAATATTGAGAAATGCGGAGCTAAGCTATTAACTCATTACGTAACTAATAATCTCAGCATTAATGTAAATCGTTTTGACGAACGAAAGATGATCATGTATGACAATAATGAATGCTGACACGTAAAATGAGAAGTTTTGTACAATTTTGATAATATAAATACTCGAATGATTCATGAACGAGGAGGATGAATGCTTTAAGTCCAAGTTTATGTTACAAGCATCTCTTTTAGTATTATAGAAATATTTTTTTTTTACATATTAGAAATATTTTTTTTTACATATTCATTTTGTATAAAATAATGTAATAGAAATTATTAAATGCATCGTACAGAATGTATAAGCCTGTGCATGATAGAAAAAGTTTATGTTTTTACGCGTACATATGTACAATATTTTTTAATTGTAGACAGAGTTTGTAGTCTTATTTGCCTGTGAGATTTTTTACCTTAAATGTTTATTATATTAGTGATGAAATTTTGTTTCACTTTATGCTATCTAAGCGTAAAAATAAAAAGCTAAAATCTTCGCACGCGTAAAGCCTTTTCTCAATTCGTTGATTTTGTTTGCAAAACCGGTGCAGACACCTTCATTAACTCACACAAATTATTTCGGATTGGACGTAAATCTGAGATTGGCTGTTCCCAATCCGTCGCGTTCAATTTTGTGAGTATACTTGATAAATCTTCTTCCGGTATATCCATTTCCTCTCCATAAAGGATCAACGCCTCATAAGTACGTATAGCCGTTGTTTTCCTTAAGCTCGTGTATTTATGACACAAAAATATACTCAGTTGACAAAATGCTCTCTTTGCAACGGGTCCTCGTACCTAGAAACATGATGTTTAATATACTTAATGAGATACAATTTTAATCATTATGGATTTTAATAAAGTTACATATTATAGATTTTTATATTTTTATATGTAATTAGTTACTCTGTAATAATTATCAATAAATAATTATTCTTGTCAATTTTTACAAACCTGTAGTAACTGGCAGAAAACATGTATACTGCTAATGAGCAATTTCATGTTACTGGAATATTTTATTTCGTGTTTCAATAGTGTTAATATACGTTCTGAGATTGTATTGTCTGCATCATCCAAGACAGACTGAATGCAACCTGAACTCAATAAACGATCCAAGAAAGCCAATATCGATGTTATCATTCGTTCGTTTTTATGACTCTCCTCGAATATATTTAATATTTTTTCACATAAATCCTTTAAGCCCGCCTCGTCGATCTCTTGTAGATAAGTAAATAAAGAAACACTCGAATATTTTACCTGGCAAAGATAAGAGATAAAAGATAAGTAAGAGATAAAAGATAAATAGCTTATATAATTAGTAAAATTATAGATACTACTAAGAGTCGATTTTGCCTTTGTCAAATAAATTAGCTCACGCGCGTGGATGTTTAGACAATATTTTATACTTTATATTTAAAAATTATAAACTTACCAATGATTCGCTTATGCCGCCGACGCTGAATATAATTCCGCGTAACAAATTTATTTTATATGGTGGAAAACTTAACATCTTAATAAATCGTGGAAACGTTGCAGATTCCATTCGCCATTCTATAGTCTCCTTACATTCGTTATAGGGAAATATATCTTTCAATTCTTTATGATATGGTATATTTGGAAGTGGCGGATCGCTATGAAGAGAATCAATTAATCATAAATTATTCATAAATCTCGCTAATTAAAATTCTTTATATTTTATTAAGTTGCTCTTTGTATAAGTAAAGAATTGTAAAATTACAGTAGACACACACATATCACCGCGTTTTTACCTGTGTATAAGCGCACTGAATACAGTACCAGCCTGAGCTCGAATTCCATCTATCCTCTCGACAGCCTGCTGCGCGACACCGCCGATAATAGCAGCCATTAAGTCCTCATTCAATACGGATAATAGTTTTGCTTGCGATACTAGGTTTGTCAACACCTGCAACAATATAGATATTTTAATCGCAATCAGTTTTCTGATGTATATTGACAATAAAATAATTTTGCTGCCATGGAATACGCACGTGCAGTCCAATCATAGCCGCTTCTCTCACCCAAGCGCCTATATCTCCACGACTATCTATGGTATATTCTTTAAGAGCCAACAAATAACAATTGTACAGATCTGTCACAAACGATTGCCATTTGTCTGAAAAGAGAATGTATTTATTCGGAGTAAATATTGTGAAATGTCAATAAATATGTGATATCTGAATGGGAACTCACCGAGTTCATCAATTCCTAGCGTTTGCAGCACCATTGTTAGTGAGTGCAAAGCTTCTTTCCTACTCTCCGCCCATTTCAGCGTGTTCTCAGATATATGAGTGCATGTGATTAACGAGTTTATAATGTCTTTCACTCTTTCACGAATTACGAACAGTGGAAAATGTCCTGTAAAATAAAAATAAAATTAAATGAAACAATATATGCTTGGCATATGTAAATGAAATGCATCCTTCAATTTACCTATTGCCTGTGCAAATCCTATTCTAATGGACTGACTACTCGATTGTAAGGACTCCAGGTAACGATTAACTACAGCACTTCGGGCGTCATGATCGATATCTACATAATATTCTAGAAAAAAGTTTGTATGTGCTTCGGCCGCTTTTAATTTAACTGCCGACACTTCGTGGCTCAAACATTCTTCTAATAATTTTTGCCAGTCATCTGTATTATCAATGATTAATAGTATATTAGATACAAAAGCAATTTTTTAAGTAAAACTTGTTTTAATTATTAATACGTGCCTACGACGTCTGTAAAATGAATAGGAAAGTGAACGATAGAACATTTCTTAATTAGCACAGCACAAGCTTGTTTCATTAGCTCTCCCCCAAGACCCTTAAATTGTCCTCTACTTCTGAAAGTTCGTACTATATCTTGTATATCAGCTACAGCCGTGTCTCCTGAATAAAAATCGAAAATGTTAGAGATATTTAAGGAAAAATAAAAACTGATCTCTGCGTATGGCTTCACGATATTCTTACCGATAATATGTCCAATTTCATCATTACAATGATTGTATAGAGCTTCGAGAATTTCCGCAGTAGCTAACACTGCACCGTGCCTAACATTTAAGTCGATAGAATTTAGCATGTCCAATAAAGTCGGCAGTACTGTCTCTGTCATATAATGTGGATCAGCTGCCGTCAGATTGAAAAGTGACTGCAACAAATTACTAATGATAAAACCGAAAATTTGTGATATTCGACATTGTAAACGTTCAATTAGTATAAATTGTCGAAACTTACCTTAGCTGAAAGCTCTCTGATTGCAGTGTCCCAATGTGTCACTTTCTTTGCCACTAAGTGATCTATTAAGGGCTTCGTGTACTCTTCATATTGTGCGATTTGTACGCTAACAGATAATATTATAAGAAATTGATTACATTATAAAAAATGTGTAAGTCAGAATTGTTGAATTCTATACCTGATTTTGAGATACGTATGACTTCTTACGCCAACTTCGAAATAGTCAGCGATAGTCAGTATGTCTATGCCATGCGGAAAGTTGTCTTGTCTTCCAACGTTTTCTTGAAACGCGGCAGACGCTGCTCTTCTGCAGTTTATCTGTCGGTGCAACAATGATTTATATGAATTATGAATGCGATAAAAATGAAAAATAATGCATAGGTATACGCGCGACTTATACCTCTCTATCGAAGCATGTCACAACTAATAACATTGCTGCGATCTCCTTGACGTAATGTTCGAAAACATGCGAATCATAGGCTCTCGGAAAGGACCAGCATATGTAACAAGCGGCATCTCTGATCAAATAACCGATCGATCCATAAGTTGTAGGTTCATCAAAGACTAAGGCTTGCAGAACGACGGGAACGACATCGCTCAGACGATGAGGTAACAATAGGCCTCGTCTTCCTGAAATATGCGCAGTAAATGTATACAAGTGATGGAATAAAAATTGTAATACATTTCTAAACGTAAAAGGGATGTGCTTACCAAGTTCCGCGAGCGCCAAACAACCACCATGCCACGCTGCATCTGATTCACGTCCGGAAAAGAGATTTAATACAAAACCCAGAACGTCGTCAGCTAAATCTATCGGTAATCTTGCGGTTATTCTGCCGATACCTTTTGCTGCGGACCACCTATGTCGTAATATAATAATATATTAATATATTTAATTAAAAAAATGATAATGTTATATTAATTTATATAATATATAAATACAATAATATATTGATATATAATTTAATTCTTATTATATATCTATATATTATTCAATTCAATATATTATCTCTAATAAATGACAGATATATACCTTATGGTAATCGCTTTATCCCGAAGACCCTGTACAAGTTGCTCTATTATATCTTCAATGGCCGGAGGAATCTCCTGATCTTCATTATCACTTGAAATACTTAACTTTTTAATATCAATGATCCTTTCAGTATTATCAATATCTGCTTTAACGTTAGGCATAATACTTATCGGCCGACTCATCTTCTGGTAGCGCCAAGATGCTAATTTTGTTCTCAACAATACCAGACCTGAAACAAAAAAGAATTTTTTTCATATTTTCAATTTTTTATTTATAAGAAATGGACATGGTCGAATGAAACACTAGATACCTATGCGCTGGACAACTTTCATTCCAAATTTCCTAATAAGATCTGTTGGATTGTCACTTAGCCGGAGTTTCAGCATATTATCGAGAAGCATTTGGCTATATGGTTTGACGTCTTCTCTAGCGCTATGCTTCAATATTGAGGATATTACAGCCAGAGGTCCATGTCTCAAAGGATCATTTTCTATACACTGGAAAAATGTGAAATAATGTATAAGCTACACTTGGAAAATCTGTGATATTATTCCTAGGTTGCTCATGTTAAATAATATTCGATATCTTTAGAGAGAATATACGTTACCTTTAAGCACCACATAATCATTTCTTCCAAGTATAATTTTTTGACATCCGATCTTGTTAAAAAGTTTGCTATTAAAAATACAGCCGCCACAGCACACGCGTCTTTCGACAGACAATATAGCTTGCACACTTTCAAAATTCTGTAACATAAGAGTAAAAACGACGTATTCCATTGCCATTCGAATGAAATAGCTTCACACAGACTAGGATAACAGCGTCAATGGTACCTGACAATAATAGTCTGGTCTGGATCTATATTCTCAGACGTTTCTAGGCGAGACAGAGGAAACGGTATCTTAGAGATGATGGACAACCAGATGAGCAAGACGTATCTAGTCTCCCACGTCTCCACATCGTTCAGGTCCTGCTTCTCGAGCATCCGTAGCACAGGCAAGAGGTCCCCCACCTCGTGCGGGAGATAAGTAACGATCCTCTTGTACGTCTTCACGGACATGATGATAAACAGGTATTTGAACGCGTTGTGCTTGACGTTCACCGGACAGTCCTCGTCTTTGGTGATCGACAGCAAGGACTCCAGGATCCGCTCGAGGTACGGGTCCAGGAGGTGATGCTGATCCTGGTACTGGGAGAGGATGAAGTTGAAGCGGTCCCGGTTCCGCTCCACCAGATCCGGCCGCCTGAGCTCCGCGATCAGGGTGGTCACCTCGTCCACCTCCTTGAACGTGCTGAAGCCGCATCCCACCCTCTCCGGGATGTCCGCGCCGTCGTTTAACACCATCGTCCGGGGCTGCCACTCGCTCGGCACGCGTGACTCGCGCGGATCACAAACCGCACGACGAAACCTTCGCCGTCGGCGGGATAACTGTAACCTGTAACTACGTAGTACGACTTTGACAGATCCAGGGGTACGTTCCAAAACTCTACTCTGAGTAGCAGGGTTAACCCTACGCCGTTCCAAAACGCGAAGTAAGTAACTATATGGGCGGAGTCTATTCGTTCCAAAAGTGAGAGTAAAGTAACCCCGGAGTTAACTCTATGAACCCTGCTTCCGAGGTGGGTTAGGAGAGTAAACTCTACTAAATTTGAATATAAACGCGGGATCTTAGAACATATAAGCGCAATTGTCTCTATACACCGCGAAAACGTTGGCCGTTGCTGTGATAAGTAAGAGAGTATAATATTAAAATTAGATAAAGTATTTTATATTAGAATTAGAAATGATACTTTATTACCCGGGTCTGAAAGGGCGTTTTGTAGGGACGTACCCAACCCTGTACATTTATATATACATATAAAATAATATTATTTCCCGGCCTGGCCATTAAGCGACCTCACAAGATAAAGTATTTTATATATCACACATAATAAATGAGCATATTAATTTCTTTTTTAATGGTTTTTTAGTCTGTTTTAGAATTGAGAGTTACTTTAAAAAAAAGTAAAATTTATTAGGTTAGGTTAAGGTTAACTTTCAATCCTAAAACATTGTTGAAGTATCAGTATCATACATATATACAAATAATATTATAAATTTATATTATTGTTTACAAAGTAAAAAATAGACAAAATGGATCTCACAGAACAGCAGTACACCCTTATAAAAATTTAATACTGTAAGTGATTTTTTGACTAGTAATTAATCACTTAAAAACACTATTAAAAGCACTGTTAATAGTGCTTAATAAAAAAAATGATTAATCACTAGCCAAAAAATCACTTACAGTATTAAATTTCTATAAGGGCATAATAATCGAAGGTGTAATATACAACATTACGACAACACCCGAGATGCATAAAAGAATACGAAATGGTAAGTTAAGTAGTAGAGTATTTCATTAAACTAATTTCATTAAACAGCTCGTTGAGCTCGTTGAGCTTCCATTTTATTCGTTGCTACTACTTTTTCAACGTTCCAAATCGTTCAACCAGAGTAACTTACTCTGGGCTTACTCTCTCCCCACTACCTTGGGTTCTTTAGAGTTGACGGAGTAAAGTTTTGGAACGTACCCCAGCGTGTCTGCGTCTTCGAACAAATAAGCATCTAGAGCCGTAGAATTCCTCGAGCAAGAGTTTGGACAATTTTTAATTGATCCTACAAAGAAGGTTATTTTTTTTTACTTATTACAATAATATTTATTAAATTGCTGAATTAATTATTTATTTTGTAATAAATTGCGTGGACGAAATTAAAACTCTCATTTGACGGAGGATCTAGCATCCCCTTCCGACACTACGCGACGCGCAGGCGCAATCCGCGCAATTCATGGTTGATATACACGCGGATTATGCACGTGCGTCTGTAACCTCGAACTCAACGGAGCTCAAGCTCGTATATGTTTCTTAATTATCACAGTAATTGATAGATGTTGGTTTGAATTGTTTATTCTGACGGTATATGGCAGATTTCATTATCATAGATTGTTGTTACATATATCGTGAAATATATCGTTATTATAGCCTTTCTATTTTCTTCAGACTGAACAAACTGCGAATAAAATGGGCTTGACCAAGCAGTATCTGAAATACGTGCCGGCAGGTAACGCAAACATAATCACGAGCCCTCGATGCAACGTCGTCTTCGTAAAGCTGGACGGTCAGGAAGGCAGATTCGTGGCTGCCGCTGCGTGCGAACATGTATACATTTGGGACCTGCGGCTCGGAGAGAAGGTAAATTGAAAGGACGTAAGATGCAAGGAACTGATAGAAATGATCCATTTTCTTAAAAATGTAATAATGATCTCAGGCACAAGTGTTATCTGGAGAAAAGGTGTGCGTAACGCGTCTGGCTGCATCCCCCGACAAAAAGCACATCGCAGTTGGTTACGCGGATGGCACGGTGAAAACCTTTGATTTAAGCACCAGCGAAAACGTTAGCATATTTGTGGGGCACAAGTCTGAAATAACAACCTTGGCGTATGACGCGTTGGGGCACAGATTAGCTACTGGTTCCAAGGTAAGAATCTTACAAATGTAGCAAAATTATAATATAAGATTATATTTCCTTATATTTCTTTTTTTATATATAACAGGATACGGATATCATTGTCTGGGATATCGTGGCGGAAACTGGGATATGTCGGTTAAGCGGACACAAAGGTGTCGTAACCAAGTTGGTATTCATGAAGGAACATAACATTATTATTAGCTCTAGCAAAGATACATTTGTGAAGTTTTGGGATCTGGATACGGAACACAACTTCAAAACCCTTGTTGGACATAAGTCAGAAGTAAGCTACTTGATTATGTTCCTGTTCGTCGTCTATATTTCATGATTATAGTGTTGATTTAATATTGATAGGTTTGGAGTCTTGCCTTGATGAACGACGATCGGTATTTAATAACGGGATGCAACGACATGGAATTACGCGTTTGGAAAATAACCTTCCTTGATAACAAGAATATTGAATTCGATACTGCCGTTGGTACAGATATCAATGAAGAAAGTGAAGAATGTGTCGATACAGATATGGTATAAAATTTATATTTGCATTATACTAAGTTTGTGATACGATTTATCTTTACATAATTATTTTTAAAGTAATATATATAATTTATAAGCACATATTTTTACAGAAATATCCTATAAAATGTGAAAAAGTTGGAAGCATAATAAGAGGCGCAAGCGGACGAGTTGTTTCATTAGAAGTTGACTCCACATGTAAAGTTCTTGGATGTCACGGAGTGGGAAATTCCATAGAACTGTTTTATCTACTATCTGAAGATATAGTAAAAGATAGATTTACGAAAAGATTGAAGAAAGAAAGGCGAAAGGCTCAGAAGTGAGTTTTAGCAAAAAAGATATTTTTAATTTATCTAAATAGAATAAGATTTAAATACATATTTCTTTGCCTCGTCAATAGGGAAGGAAATGACGCACAGAAAGAGCTACCAAATGCACCATCCCTAACAGACGAGATAAGACGTTTACCTATTGTTAAAATCTCCGGCAAAGCGAAAGGACTTGATTTAGTTATAGGCAAAGGAAACGAACTGAGAGTTAGTAACAGCTTTTATAAGACAAATTTAAAATCACCTGAAATTTTGTGCTATATTTTATTTTGTCCGTTTTGTACAGTTATGTGTTGGAGTCAATAACAATTCGATCGAGTTGCATTCTTTGTACATGGAAGAGAAGGATCCCGAAGTAAAATGTTTGCGTTCAATAGCGGCACATGGCCATCGTACAGATGTTCGAGCTGTCTGTTTTAGCTCCGACAATTTGGCATTGGCTACCGTTAGCGGAGATTCTGTCAAATTATGGAATAGGTAGAGTATCTTATGAAAAATATGTGTTTTTAATAAGTAATAGATACATATTAGAGACTAACAAAAACGTGATAATTTTTAGGCCAACGCTATCGTGCTTACGCACAGTGCAGTGCGGTTATGCCTTGACGGTAACATTCGTGCCGGGTGACAGACATCTGATTGTTGGTTTGAAGGACGGAAAAATGCTTATTATTGACATTGCATCTGGGGATATCTTGGAAGAAGTGCCGGCGCACTCCAAAGAGCTTTGGACCGTGACATTATTTCCGGACTTGGTAATATTTTTGAACAAAAATATTTTAAAAATTGTTATTAAATTGAAACTTATTAATACGTTTTTGCAAATAGAAAGGCATTGCCAGCGGTGGTGGTGATCAAACGGTGAAATTTTGGAATTTTGAACTTATTCACGATTCTAACAATCAGATAAAAGCGAAAGTTCTATCTGTCTTGCACGTAAGGACGCTTAAGCTTGAAGAAAGCGTCCTGTGCGTAAGAATAAGTCCGAATAATAGATTTGTGGCTGTTTCTCTATTGGACTGTACTATTAAAATCTTCTTTTTCGACACATTTAAGGTACCGCAGTTATTTTGAGATACATTATTACATTATCTTGAATGCTATCTTTTATCGTTTTATATTTTTATTATAGTTCTTTGTGTCGCTTTACGGGCACAAGCTACCAGTACTGTGCATGGATATATCCAGCGACTCCACGCTCATAGCGACCGGTTCTGCTGATCGCAACGTCAAGATCTGGGGTTTGGATTTCGGTGATTGCCACAAGTCTTTATTCGCGCACGATGACTCTGTCACGGGTCTCTCATTCGTGCCTGGAACTCACTACTTCTTTACCTCTGGTAAAGACGGCAGGATTAAACAATGGGATGCTGATATATTTCAAAAGATCACCACACTACAAGTACTGTATTTCATTGATGAATATTTTGCGATACCGCGTGTTAAGTCGGTGATTACAATACTTTTATGATTTTTGTAGGGTCATGCTGGAGAAAGTTGGAGTTGTTGCGTTTCAGCGAACGGGGTTTTTGTCGCGTCGTGCGGTTCCGATAGAGTAGTCAGATTGTACGAGAAGACTAACGAACCTTTAGTATTACAAGACGAAGCGGAAGAAGAAAGGGAACAACAGGAGAACGAATTAGTTACCGGGGAAAGCACTGCGGTATTAGGACAGAAACAACAGGCGTTACCTTCCAGAAAGACCGTTAACAGTGAGAAGGCTGTAAGTTGAATATTATTAAACTATATACAATTTGCAACACAGGGTATTAAAATCTCTTTGTGATACGACTTTCTTATCAGGCTGAGCTGATACTGGAATGCTTGGAAATATGCAACCAATATGAGATAGAATTAAGTAAAGCTGTTTCTGCTTCTGACAAAGCGCCGCCTCTTCCTCTACTGATGCAGGCTTACGAATGCACGAGCACAGAAGATTTTCTAGTGGAAACTTTTAAACGAGTTAGGGCGAGGTATATGAATCTGAAAATGTGATGAAGCACGCAATAACATTTCATATAAGAATGAAGACGTAACTAGAACCTTGCATGTTTCAGTGAATTGGAGGAGACATTACTATTATTACCATATTCTGCCGCCTGTGATATTCTTAAGAGACTCCCTAATTTGTTAAAAAATGATTATCAAGTTGAGCTATTATCCAGATTAGCTCTGTGCTTGGTACAAGCGCATCACGGTCCGATAGTGGCCAATCAAAATCTTTTGCCCACGTTGGAGATTGTGAAGAAACTCGCTGTGGAAAAGATCTCTACTTTGAGAGTAATAAAAGTTTACTTTACTGACTGCATATGTTTACGAGAATGTATGTGCTGTTATTTATCTCACGAATTAACGAACGATATCTTTTAGGATACTATTGGCTTTAATTTGCATGGTATGATGTACATGCAACGCATCTTTGAGGAACGGGAAGGAATCAAATTCTTCAGAGACGCCACCAAGAATGTCGAACATAAGAAGAAAATCAGAAGAAACAAGGAGAAGGCTGTAAAGAGAGCGATCATGAACTTGTAGATCTTATCGACAACATAAAGAATTTTGCAGATATAAATATGTAGCACAAATTTTTATCACATACTTTGTATATAATATAAATATTAACCGTGCTTTTTAATTATAAATTTATATTAGAAATTTATAGCAATAGTTATCATAATAATTAAAAATTTCTGTCTTCACACATAGTATCAAATTATTATATCCTCTGTCAATAAATTAGACAAACTGATCGATTAATTAAATCGTAATAATTAAGAATATTGTGGATTGTATAAAGTTGCATTATTACGAACTTGAAATCAAGTCGATATCTCGCAAGGTCGAATCGACTCATATACGTAAATGTCGACATACACAACGTTATAACATAACCTCGTTTAGTGTGACAGTTGACACCATATGACACTCGCATGGATAAAAGAGACTTACGTGCTATAAAACCCTATGGACGAGTTAAAGGTATCTTAAATCTCCTCCGTCTAGTGAAAATTAAAAAAAAAATTCCGCATGACTTGATTGTTGTTTATTCGCGTTTGTTGCAAACAAAAATAGAGGATGGATCACGAAGACGAGTTCCTCAACACCTTCTTCACCCAGGTCGCACAATTATGCTCCGACAAGGCCAAGGAGACAGTTGTGAGTGGCTAAATTCCTGTTGTATATATGTAATATGAATACTTGCAATTGTATAATTGCATCTGAGAGAAAATGTATCTTTTTAATTCAGGAGAGAGAAAGGGAGTCGTGCAAACAGATGCAAATGGGTCCATGGGGAATGCTTCTGATGCACTTACCGCAGATAGCCGTGGCGGAACGTTCATATGCGGATTTAGGTTTTCTCAATACTAAAAACAAAGGTTTCCTCAGAAAAGATGTATGTATTTGACAAAGAAGTTGCTTCAGTCACCACTCGTCTCAAGCTTTATTTACGATGATATTATTTACAGAATTCCTTGAAGACTGTTTACGAATCATTGAAGTCCGACTTGAAAAGATTAGAGGAAATGACCAAGGGAACGAACTCTATCGGCACGACAGTCGCAAATGTTTCCAATCAACTCTGTCAGTTCATCACGGCAAGAATCCAACTGATAGATTTGTCAGTATATTAGCACTTCAAACCTTCTATTTCTAATGTCACAGATGATTGTATTACAGCTGTGATTATTGTATTACAGCTACGAGAGAATGTACAACATGAGTATAAACAGCAAAGTTATGAAGCATCAAGAATTGCTGCAGTGTATAGAAGGGATAGTGAAGTGCTATTTATTATCCTGTTCTCATTTGGCGTTAATTGCTATTAAGACAAGTTTAACGTGCGTATCCCCTCGTGATTTTTTAGTAATGTGAAATATTGTAGACTTCAATACGTGTGAGAAGCTAATAATTTTTATTATTCAGATTAGAATGCGAAACACTAGTGCAATTAATGAAAGCGCAAGTAGAAGTTCAAAACTGGAGATTTTTACCGACCCTGATGGCGCTCTATGGAGCGCAAACGCGAATGGCAGCTTGGGAAAGAACTCTGCAGAGCAAGGAGGTTAGCGATATATAAATAAGAACATCGAAGCAGCTTATTGAGTATTCTAATTCGAGATATTTTTTTAGTCCTGGAAATTGGGCTTCGGTGCGACGTTCCTCAAGGCAAATCAACAACCAGCATTGTATCAATGGCTGGTGAAGCTTCGCGGTGCCATATTGGCTAAGTGTTCTCTGTATTTCCACACTACTTTAAGCCAACAAGCTAGTCCAGGGGAAATGAGGAGTATTGTGAGCAAGCAGAGTGTAGATTATTATCATAAGTAAGATATAGATATTATTTTGTTGCTCCCGCAGCACTTACAGGCACACAAATTGACAGACGCTTTTTCAGGATACAGAGTTTTCAACGAAAGTACGACATACTAGCCGTACTGATAATCTTCGACTCCAGAGAAACTGAAAATTCAGGTTCGGGATACAGACATCCAGGGAGAGGAGCAAACTCGTCCGAGAGCTTTCCCATTGTCGTTTGTTGTCCTGGTGTAAGTACAAATTTATCTTTTAATTGTTTTTATCAATACAAGTATGTATGTATTAGTATCCACAGATATGTAGTATAAAACTCTGTGCTTTTTTACGTAATTAATGTTTCTTACAGACTTTCACGCAGAAACCATCAGTACACTTGGACAATATTCAGACCAAGATAAAGGAACGACACGCCGAACTTCTCGCTATGGACAAAGTGATTTACCATAAAAGCACGAAGGTACGCCTATTACGAAATGATCTTTGAGCAGATTGTAAATTAATGACGTTTCTGCAGGACTTGTGTACATACTCTTTCCACAATACCGACCCCACTATGACTCTTGTGATCGTGTTCGAAAACGGGAAGCAGAAGGATAAAGAAACTCATATCACGTCGTTTATGATGGACCTGTCTACGCAAATTAGATGCAATAAAGTTTATGAATGTCTCAAATTATCAAAATGAATGTCTGCGCGAAAGTAAAAGTATGAAAATATTGGATTATGCCAAAGACATAATTATATGTTAAAAAACTCATTAATATAAGTTTATCATGTGATATACGGTTATATAAAGTAATAAGAATAAGGTCTATATATTATTTGCATGTATACAATATTAGCTTTGTACATATTCCTAAAATGATTTTATAAAGTAAAATAGCGAAAGCTCTCTAAAAAACCCGATCTCTTTACTTATATTCTTTAATTAGAAAAAGATATTCAGTTTAAGAAGTTCGAATTTTAACAGCGAATGCGACACAAAAAAGATCCACGACGAATGACGTAAGAAACATCCTCATATATATTTCCAAACTTGTAACAGTTCATAAAATCAAAACGTTCTTGGAAAATTATTTGACGCTGTTGATATGCGAAACACTGTCAACCGTGCATTTTTCGCGTCGAGGTGAAAACACGCGACAGTTCTATCAAGTAAACTCCGCGCGATCGTAGTGTCGCTCGTACAACGGATTTCCCGCAACTTGGTCGCACACTCAAGTTAATCTAGTATTTCATTAATTGTATGAATTGGTCAAATGTAAAAATAATGAGCCCCCATGTATCAGCATCTTAATCGCCGAATGAAATATTTACGTTACAGCAATTATCAAATATATTTTATTTGATATAGATAAGATTAGTTATTAATTGCGCGGTTTCATCTGATAATGCATAATTTAATTTCATTTAATCTGGTACTAGTATCGAGAAAACGGTAATATATATAAGTAATATTTTTAAAGGCCGTCCTGCTTGTACCGAATGCCATTGCGATTAAATGCATTTTGAACTTTGCATTTATTTAGTTATAAATTAAATATTAGTCCTTATCTCAGATTTTAACTAACATCCGCTAGAAACAGGTCAACCTATAGAGGCCCTCCACCGCCCCCGCCGATTCTGATCGGCGGTCCTCTTTTATTTACAACACGTTTTTTAACATTTCTGCCATTAATAATTATTAATTTATTTTATTCCTTTTACAATTTACTTTACAATAATGTACAACATTATAAAAGAGTTACATATTACAAAATTGATTTGACAATATACAATAAAATAATACACAATATTTCTTTTTGACATGAAATTACATTTTTGCAACATTCGGTTTGCGTACAATAACACGAAATTTTCACAATGTATAACGTGAGGCTATTACGTAATGTTTCTTATTAATTATAACAAGTCCAAAGTCTATTTTACTTCATTTTTAATCTACGCGAACAATCATGACCAAAAACATTAATTTTATTACTTATGTTATTCCATCAAGGAGAACATCGATTATTGTTATACCTACTCCATTATATTTTGCAAAACTCAAAGAAAATGATCGATACGCGAAAAAAATAGACAAAGCTTCGATGTAAAGCAACAATCAAACTGAAAAATACGCGACGAAAGAAACGATGCTAAGTTATCTTCCCATATACATAATTTTTATAATATCCGTTGCAATGCGCACGCGAATTCTTTATAATTATTATTTCTCTACGCGATAATGAATGTTATTTGATAAACGTTAAACATTTCGTAATATACATCATCATGTCTACGATTTTAATTATCTATAACACAGTGATGCTGCCGTGCTGCCCGGTCTTCCGAACGGCAACTCTGCTCGGGATGTCAGCTATGCAGGATTCCCTCGCTGCTACGCGATGTCACGTTCAGCGTCGTTATTTTCTGAAACATTCAAATGAACGATTCGATTAAGTAAAGATAGAAGAGATAGAAAATATTTGGACATAAGTGACATAGTATGTAAAAATCAATTACACTCACCACTTTCTTTCAGGCTGTTCTGGCCGCAATAATCCTCCTCCACTTCCGGGTCAGCCTCGCATTCGTCAGAATGCAGTTTACACAGATCCTATAGATCTGATGCCACATAGAAGTCATCGATCGACTCGTGGCAATGCAGCGTGCTCGGCAGCAATTAAGGGTTCATCTATTAAGCAAGAAAAATCAAGAAGCATTTCAGCTATATTGCATTAATTTTATGACGTTGTTGCAATATAGTTGAAATGTTTCTTGACCTTTCTCGCTTAATCGGAATGTAATTGTTGAAAAGAATTGAAAATTATTCCCTACCTACGTTTTAATTAAGTCCCTATACCTACGCTTATTTCTCCACGCTTCCCTACGCTAAAACTCACCGACCCTGATGTGCAGCAGCGGAGCTGTATCTGCAACGTTGCTACGATGATTCTGTAACAATCAAACATACAATCCAAATTAGAGCAGAAAAGAAAGGAGACAGTCAGTATTTCGAAAAATAATTACCAAACGTAAAACACCGAATTCTATATTTTAATTCGTTAAACGAATTTAATAAAAAAATCACGTTTAATTTCTTAAAAGTATACTCTATTTACTGAACACAAGAATTTTAAATAGAATTTTAAAAATTAAACTCTTTTTTAATTTCTACTCTCTGGCTAACTTTACTATTTGATTAAAAAACCGATTGGTTAAACTATCCGCGAAAGACACAATATGTATAAACCAATTATATTTACCGCATGTTGTTCCGCCGGCGCCTGATGCCTCTTCCTGGCCTCCACCTCCTCTCAGGCTGCTCGGGATGTCACTCGTGTTCCCTCCATGCGAAGTTGATGCTCCTTCCCGCGCGGATATTTTCTGTAACATAAAAATAATTGAATCGATTAAATACGTGTCACGCGCATCAAACATCTTATTCGTTATTCAGATTATTATTATATTTTAAATTACTTCTTCGAAAAAAGTTTTTACGTTAGAATCAACTTGAATCAAATTTTTCAAAATATTTCTTTTTACTAATTTAAATTCCAAAACACGGTTTAATGTAGGAACTGAATAAGCACAAAGAGGGATTCTATAATATCTTTAAAAAAAATAAAAAGTAACACTTACCAGAAGTGTTGGTACACCGATGCCTGATGCCTATCCTAGACCTCCTCCTCCTCTCAGGCGGCTCGGGATGTCAGCTTCGCAGGATTCCCTCGCTGCTCCGATGTTACCTTCTGCGTCGTTATTTTCTGAAATATTCAAGTGAACGATTCGATTAAGAAAGACAGAAGAGATAGAACATTTTTGGACATAAGTAAAATAGGCCGGTATTCATAGGCTACGTTCGGGGAGCACGCTATTATAGCGCTATTGCATCATTCTATCTTTATTGCTCATCAGGTATAAAACAAGGATAAAATAAACAAATAGCGCTAATAGCGCGCTCCCCGAACGCAGCCATAGTCGGTTCTTATATTTAAAACCATCTTAAGTACAATCTTAAGATGTCATTAACCAATCACAGAGCCGTATTAGCATCTTAAGATATTACTTAAGACGGTCTTGAAATAAGATCCGACTATGAATACCGGCCATAGTACGTAAAAATCAATTACACTCACCACTTTCTTTCCTGCTGTTTCGGCCGCAAAATTCATCTTCACCTCCGGGTCAAACAGGAGTCTCGAGCTACATTTAAGACTCGTGGCAATGCAGTGTGACTTTATACATTAAGCAAGAAAAGTCAAGAAGCCATTTCGGCTATATTGCATTAATTTTACGACGTTGTTGCAATATAGTCGAAATGTTTCTTGACTTTTCTCGCTTAATAGCAATGTAATTGCTGAAAGGAATTAAAAATTATTCTCTACCTTTTTTTTTTTTTTTTTTTTTAACGTGGTGGAAATCTTCGAAAGACTCCCCCGCCCTGAGGAAGGGAGGGGGAGTGTCGGATTCTACGCGCACGCGTACCACCGTTACGAGGGGCGCTTCAGAGGGCCGAAATCCCCTGAGCCTCCCTCAGCGTGGCATCGCGCGCCCATAGCCTACCGACTAAAACCACCACGAGCGACCCTGACCTAACTTTCTAAGGGTGGTGGGTGTCGATCCGCAGACACACGCACCGCGCGACGCAACGTCCTAATCGCCTGACTTTCTAAGCGGGGTGGTGGCCCCCGTTCCGCCGGCCACCAGCGCGACGAGCGACGCGACTTCCCTACAGGCGCCCGACT